ATTAACCTGCTCTACATGATCTGCGCGTTTTATTTGACTATTTAGTTTGAAATCAACTCCTATTCCTAATACAGAACTCAGATTGTAGATGGTTTATGGTTAATATCTCTAGAAACTGAAAGCATTTTGTCACAATTGCGTCACAAATTAGTGCCCTTATTCCACTCAAAGACATGATTGTTGTCAGTTGAAAGGGCCTTAAGTTTGGATATTTCTTTCAAAAACAGTGAATCTCACATAGAGAGGCTCCTGTCCTCCATCTGAAATTATGACATCAAATACTAGAACGTGATCGAAACCTTTTGCTTTCATCGAAGTGCCTCCGAAAAGCGCAGCCTAACCATTAATAGAATGTATTAATAGCTCCTTCTATCATCTTTGCCCCGAAATTCATTTTTTGTCAATTTTCACGCTCCCTCCAACAACTTATAGAGCTTCCCAGTTCATGAATATTAATGAACATACCAGCATACCCCACAGTGCCGTTATTAGATGAATTGTCAATCAAGCAGAACTAATTTGCCGAGCCTCCAGTTGTCCTTGGGTTCCTCCTTGGACTCTGGGACAGTTGTGAGGTCTCGTCTTTGGGCCTGTTTGCAGACCGTTCTGGACGAGATGATGGTGGAGCAGACTGACCTGGTGCGCTTGAGGCTGGTGCGCATGTCCAACGTCCCCGACACCCTCTACATGGTCAACAACGCCGTCCCCCAGTGCTGCCACATGATCAACCACCAGCAAATGACTAGCAACACAGCCTCCGCTCCCTCTGTCGTAGCGAATGAAATCCCAGGTAAGTTTCAGCTGATTTTGGTTGAATGTGCACTAAATGATTGTTCAGGTGTATTGATGGTCTCCTGTGGTTGTTGCAGTGCCTCAGCTGTCTGTGGTGAAGGAGATGATCCGCCGGCTGCAGGAGCTGAGACACACTGAGCAGGTGCAGAGAGCCTACGCCCTCAACTGTGGAGAGGGGGCCACTGTGAGCTACGAGCTTCAGCTGCGTGTGCTCCGAGAGTTTGGGCTGGCCGACGGAGCCACGGAGCTACTGCAGGTAAGACCACAACACAAGAGGATCACGCCATAAAAAATGTATCAGTAGGTCTGTTTTGTTTAGCAATGCAGTGTTCAAATTCAAACTAATATTTGTTTGCTATTTCAGAATCCGTACAAGTTCTTTCCTGATGAGCGATTTGGAGATGAGAGTCCCATTTTGGCCTTGCGGCAGGTAGGTCGCTGTCGTGTGAACAGTAGCCCGGCAATGGACAGCATGTTCGCTGACATGGAAGGAGTTGGAGGCTTCCACCCTCCGCTGCCTCCTCCACCTCCCCCCTACCATCCCCCTGCCACCCCCAGCCATGCCCAGATGAAAGGGGCCTGGCGACCCCGGGTGCCCATGCCCACCCCTACTCGCTCTTTCTCCTACCCCTGTAATCGCACCCTCATTCAGAGACATGTGTCCTCCAAACATGGCAGCTCCGAATACTCATCAGTGCCCAGGCCCCAGCCCCCAGACTGCACCAACCCACAGGCCATGGGGCGCGCTCTGCTGGACCAGCAGGTGGTGAGTGATCTGTTTACAAACCAAATGTGCCTTGTGTCTACAGCTCATGAAACCATATTTTGTGTGTTCTGACTGCAGATGAATGTGGAGCCGGTCATGAGGGAGTTCATGCCTGATATTGCCCTCGGAGTGTCTGTGCTGTCTCTGAGGGAGCAGCACATGGACATGGACAGAGAGGGGCCTCACAGTCCTATGGGCCCCTCAGGCCTGCACCTGCCTCACGGCCCCTGCCCTTCGGCTCGCCTCAGCCACAGCCACGGCCCTGGACACGGACACTCCTGTAAAAGACACGCCCCTGAGCCCAAGTTGGAAGCTCAGGCGGAGTTTCCTGACTTGTATGACTTCTCCTGTCGACCCGCCACCCCCACCTCTGCTCACCCCCGGCCCTCTTTTCCAGGGCCCGATCTCTACAGCCACAGCTGCACCTCTGGCTCTTATCAGCCCTCTTACATCTGTGACTCTCAGGGCCACTCCCACTCCCAGGGGCGGAGCGCTCCCGACCCGCTGCGGTTAGATGTCCTCGGGATGACCTCACAGAGACATGAGCCTGTCCTCTCCAGCCCTTCTGGGGCCCAGGCTAGAATGGGACATGTCCCAAGGGGAAGATCAAATGAAACTGACTTGACTCACGGCTTAGGTCATCTGCGCTCCCCTAGTGGAACTGTGGACAATTATGAGGACAGGCACACAGGAGCCAGAGAGCCAGCAGAGGAGATGATTCTGGGGGCCGAACAGTCGGGCCCCTCCCCTGTCCCACAGTCCCACAGGAACAGTGTGACCGAGGACCGCCGCTCTCCCAACAAGCCTGAATACCCTTATAAGAAATCAGCACTTTAACCCCAAGAGGAGCCGGGGTTGAGTTTGGAAAAGGGAAACCTAACGCTGTCTGTCCCGGTGGATGGCAAAGCACTAAATGTGTGTGAATGTGTGTTTGAGAGGAGCAGGGGAAGGGGGATGATAGTAGCTATTTATAGTTTGTCCTTTTGTCCTACCTCTGTCACACTGTGCTATCCATCACACACTCACTATAGAGAGAACGCTGCAGGTTAACAGTCAATGCTTCACATTGATCTCCAAAGCTCCTTGGTCTGCTGTTTGGAGACTCAGTGTAAAGCATGAAGGGGTCAGGGAGCAGAGCTCCACAAGACCTGCCTGATGCGTCACAACACTACAAGAGTTCAGTACAAATGGAATACTCCTCAGAATGCTGAGATGGCAGGATCTGTATCTGTTTACACTAGCGAACAATGGCACATGCTTTGAGACTTACAGTAGAGTAGAATATGGCTGTGATTCGCTCCCTTCATGTATAACATTTCCATTTTCTTCCCGTAGCACTCCTCTAGCTGCCCACCTGACTTAGTTCACCGCTTTGGGAGCTAGCTATGCAGTGTTGATGTGTAACAATCCGGATCCTGGCTGCACAAGGAATTGGAACTGACAGGAAGTAGGTCATCATAGCTCGTCATTGTGGGTTAATTGTGTCGGATTTGAACCGTCACAGCCGCTACGTGTCCAAATGAGACACGTTTCTGTTGCAGATTGAAGCTGATGGAGAAGAGCGGGTTGATTATAGCGGACAGTACAGGGCTTTATTGCAGATGATGTATGGTTTTTAAAATGGCTGCCTGTTTATTTTAGCATCAAAGCAGGTCTGTGAGGATATGTAGATGTTAGACAATCTCAGTACTGTACCCACCCATTTTAGCCAGGTCTGTTCGGACATATCAGAGCCCAGTGTACCGGGGTGTGCGATCGTAAGTTAAGTGTGCAAATCCTCCTTTTTATTTCAGCAGCGTTAAATATCGCAATCTAAAGCCTTAACTGGTACTTCAAATATCAGTTCTAGCAACCTTTATTCAGCTAAGTATGATGTCATTACTATCACTACAGTATAATCACTTTGACTGTTCTGATCACTATGGAGACACACACTGCAGTTTGGGCTTGTTGATACTGTTGATTATAAAGCTGCAGCAGGAGTAGCCCCCCCCCACACATACACACATGACACAACACACAGAGTTCACACAGAGCTCGTCACGTCCAGTAGCTGAGCACTTCACTCAAAAGCATTGCACTGTGGAGCCACACATGTAGTTGAAGGGAAAAAAAGAAACATTTGAACAAAAAGGAAGTGAAATTAGAGAATAGTCCAAATGCTGGCTCCTGTCTAATGAATTTGTATATAATGAGTAGAGTCCCTGAGTTGAATGGCTTGTGTCACATTTTAGTGGATGTTGAAGGTTTGTACTTTTACTGTAGTGGACAACACTGTGTACTTGTCTCGTCATGAACTCACCAAGAATGTGTGGTTTACAATGTAAAGATTATGTCCAAGAAGCTATTTTGTTCTTAAGCGTTCTGCATTTAAGGCAGTTCAATATCGTAAGTGGGGTAACTTTGTAAACATGTTTTTGTTCCTTTACTTTAAAGGGTCCATATTAGGCTATTTTCTGATCTTTTATAATGTTGTTTCCTTACAAAAAACATGTCTGCAGTTGTGTTTTGTTTCATTCACACGTGTTTAAAAATATTTAGGCTGACTTCTTCTTTTAAACTGAAAACACACTGATCCACCTTGTTATGTCATGTGGTAATACAGGAAGTAATCCAGTGTGTTTTTCCAACTCTTACACCTTTGCTAGAATCATTTTGATGATTTCAGCCCTGGAATTGCCAATCTCAAGTAAACAGCTGTTTACATAAACTACCACTACGTGACATCACAAAGTGGGACAAAGCATTTTGAGCTTTGGCAATGTAAACAGACTAATAATAATGGATTACTCAAACGTGTGAATGAGACAAAACACAATTCCAGGTCTGTTTTTGATGAGGTAACATAATGTGACTTAAATCTCACAAGAATCCATTTTGTGTAATATAGGACCTTTAAAAGTAGCAGGACTGTGTAGAGGATCTGCAGATCTAGCCTTTTGCTTTAAAGATCGCCAAGCAGAAAAATTATTTTCCATCTTGCTTCATGAGGAAAAAATGCAAAGGTTCAGATTCCTCCTCATGTTCATGTTGGTAAGTTTTATTTTCCAGGACAATGTTCCACTGAAAAGTTTTGTTTTGCTCTTTTGCTGTTAGAGAAGTCAGTGCCTTCCCTGCCTGCAGCTGGGCTTTTTTGGAGAAGTGACTTAACTGTCTATGCAAGCTCTTTTCTACCAGCTAACCAGCCTGCATCACTTTGAACTCTCATGTAGCTTGTTTGTGTACATAGTGTTATTTAGCACCTTTTCGATTTCAAATGTGGGATAATTGCTTGTGTTGAATTCTAAAACATGTTTGTAGACTGATATTAAGTTCCATTTAGTTTCACTGAATCTATTTTTCTACTGTCACCTCGAGGGGTGCATAACAGTGGTCAACTCGGCATCATAAAATAAACTGGTTTGATATGATGTAATCCTTGTGGCTTTTCACTGTCTTTACACACTTTTTAAAAATGGTTTTAATGGTTTCTCAGTTCACAGTTCACAGTATTGTACATTGCACAGAAAATCAAAATTGCCTACAGGGTGAATTAAACCTCAGGGTTTCCTTTAGTTGCATTCAGGACCCCAAGGACAAATGCCATCACACAACAGTTGTAAAATCATGATGTTAATATTTTTTCGCAAGTTTTTTGACTAATTCTAAATACATTCCTGCTCTAATTAAAAAAAAACAAAAACACAACATGTCTTTAGGGTCTTAAGTGTGACAAAAAAAATGCAATATAATTTTTTTTTGGAATTAAGAACTTACAACTTTGCACAAACTTTGGTGTCTTAAACGAACCGAATTGAAATGGTGAACAGATGAAGTTGCAAAAAATGGCTAAATGGACAAAAACATCTAAAGGGAAGCCTGACGGTTAAGGCATTATGTTACAGCTTTTATAATGAAAAGCTGTACTTGACGATGCTACAGTTCTTGCATTTTACATTCAAATGTTTCAACAAACTTTTATTGAACATTCAGGGAGCACCATATGAGCCCAGCATATGATGTAGCAGCTTTATTCTTCTTCATTGTTGGTTCGGCGGCGCTTGTACCTCTCCTTTATTTCTTCAAAGCACTGTCGGACTGCCTCTCCTGTGACTTCCTGTAAAACCACGCATGGGAAGTTTTTAGGGTTTAGTTGAAAGTAAAAAAAAAAAAACACGAAACAGAATGTTAGACAGCTACACTTTTTTTTTTTTCCCTCACCTTTCCCTCTTTGGCGCACTGCTCCTCCAAGGCAGCGATCCTCGTAGTCATCTCCTGGACACCTAATTGGAAAAAAAAAAGGCTTATTATTATTTCGTAACAATGGACAATATTAAGCGATTACAGCAGATTCTCGTCTGTGGCTTGCTTCACTGACTTCGTAGCACAATTAATTGATACTTTGGAGTGACATCTGACTGAGGGGGGACAGTATGAATGTCCATGGAGGAATGTTCTGCAGTTACCATAGTGACAATGCACAAATCAGCACACTGTCTTTTTAGATTGTCTGAAAACGCAAGGAAAAAAACTAAACAAAATGGATTTAAACCAGGGGCGTCCTACCAGTAGCTCGCCAAGGGATTTCTGCAATATACATACTGGGCTGAATAACTAAAATTTGATTGATTAAATTCCTATTTCCTTTGTAAATGTATAGTTTTTATGCCTAATTTTGTACACTGATAACTGGATAATGGGTTACGTTTTATAGGCACCTAACTCTTGTCTCATCTTCGGCGTACCATGGCTCTTAATATTTACAAAATTTCTGGCGACCCCAAAAATTAGTAGCTCTCTGGCATTTTCTTTTTTACAAAAAGTAGCTCACAGAAGGAAAAAGGTTGGAGACCCCTGATTTAAACCGATTAATGCAAGCGTTTATCCAAATCAGCTCACCTGTTGTAGTTCCGGCTAAACCTGTTCTTTATGGTCAGATTAACTAATTTGAGTAACAGAGCTGACAGAACAGTGCCTCTAGTTAGCTTTGCCCCCATCCCTCCCAGAAAATTATATCAGCTGCATAGTATTAATATTAAAGAAAGAACTCACAATTTGAATGGTTGCAATGAATAAACTTCAATTAATATATGATAATTGTTCTAAAAAGCAAGGGATTAGTAGATTAAAAATTGTGAGAAGACTAACATGTGAACTAATCTAAAGGTCGACTATGTAACTTTTGGAGTGAATGGCCTGCCACCGTTTTGTCACCGCGGAGCTGCTATTGCTTGGTTTGAAATGTTCCACACTATAGCTTGACATATCTGGAATTAATTAAATTACAGGTGTTTTTATGGCTCATAAATACTTTGCATGCATTCTTTCTGTGAGTGGGGTTGCACTTCCGCAGAGCTGATCTGTAACTTGGGCTGGTGAAGACTCTTGCTTGTCTCTGTGAAGAAAGATCAGTTAACATCAATAACTTCTCTATTGATAATGGGACAAGCAGGTGGCAGACCCCAGAAAAGTCACGCAGTTACTAGGAATGTAACGATATCCAAATCTCACGTTATGATATTTATTGCAATATTTTGAAGAAATAATTGTAGATGGGACACTTTTATGCTTTTAAAATACCTTGACAAGATTTTGGTGTGAATTATTACCGTCATAATCCCAAGAATTCAAGTCAAAAACATATTTCTTCACGCTGTCTGCACTGAAATGAATCAATGGATATGTAGTTCCCGATGTTTATAAGCTGTTGCTTCTATAAAACCATGCATTTAAGCAAAGGAACTTGTGATTCGATATATTGTGAGAGTCCACGATATTATTGTTAGACTTTTGACAATAAGATATCACGATATTTCGGTTATTGTTACATCCCTAGCAGTTACGCTTTAATGCTCATGGGCAGGTTTAAAATGTTTACAATGAACTGAATCTTTGAATACATTTATTTCCAAAACCGTGTAGCCCTACAATCTAATCTACAATCTAAAAATAAGAACTGCATTAACAAGTCACAATGAACCGAAGAGAGTAACATTTTCCTCATTCCACTCACCATAGATGAGCTCCAGCTGTACTGCGCGGTCCATTGAAACGGTGAGGGCTAGAAGGGGGTTTTGTCCGAACGGCTCCTTCAGGCCTTTGTTCTCGTAGGCCAACATTGTGTCCGACGGGTCCATGAGAAATTGTACCTGCGCAGACACATAGGCCCTCTGCCCCGACACAGTAGTCAAACGGTTAAAAACGTTACGACACTATGTTTTTGTCAATATTGCACTTTATCTCAAAGTATTTGTATCATTTGCGGATTATTTGGACAACAATAATCAGGGAAATTTGCAATCCATTGGAAATGTGCTGAAATTATTTGGGTTGAGGTTCAAAATATCCCATAATTTAGCAGCTTTGCACTTGGAGATGTTTTTGTTTAAGTATCACAGTCTGAACACATTTGTCAGTGTATTTTTGAGAATAAAGAACAGCCTTAATGAAAAATAAATGTCATAATAATAATAATAATAATATCCTATGGAATATTCCAGGCAAAGCGTTGAGCAACACAACATCTCCATGGAGACAAGCAGGTCCCCCAACACTAGAAAAGTTACATAGTTCATCTTTAATGTACTTTAATTTTTCAGAACCACAACCCTTTTAAGTGGCAGCCCCATTATTAACAACCGTAGGGATTCGTGACCCACAAACACTAAAGTAGGCTACCTGCGACGTGATAAAATAGCTTTATGTCTAATGTTTGATTTTATTTTCAGGTCATAGCCTACAATATTAATTCACTTAATGCCTAACAAATAGGAATCTACATTTACGACTACATTTGAAGGGTGTCTTGCCTTCTTTACGACCGATGTACACATTTAAAAATTTTCCCCTAATCATCTGAGGGGAAATCTTGAAATCGTTTCACAATCCAAGGTTGAGAACCACTTGTAGAGTCACGTAGTTAGGCCTGACAGTTACCTTAAAGAGTTATCGTTATTATGAGACAGATTTAACCATCTTTTTTGGAAATCGATAATTATTGTGGGTGAGTTTTGTTTATACTGTGTTATTTTTCTGTACTACAATTCCAGCTGTAGAGAGTTGGATAAATTCTATGACTCATTGTGACTCATTATTGATTAAAAACTGCTCACTAAGTGTTTCATTCTGCGGTTCGTGTTTTAACCATATTGTGCATTTAGAAAGTTATTGGGTCAGTGTCCATTTTTATCGTTTTATCCTCTATATTTTCTTCATCACTATATCATACTTCAAAATGGGTAACTGTGACAGACCTACATGTAGTAGACAATGAGTTGCCCACTTTTACTGTAGTGTTTCACAAATGGGAAATCATTTTGAGCACTACCTTGCAGCTGGTACAGGTGCAGAGGTGCCTGCGCCAGTCATGAGGCCAGAACACTGCTCCCTCCCTGGGTCTCTGCGCCGCCTGCGACGAGAGAGCCGCCAGGGCCTCCAGCAACTTCAGTCTGCAGCCCACTGTATTAACTGGCTCCTGAACCAAGCTACCGGACGTCTCCTCCTCGCGTTTCCGTTTGCAGGATGAACTCTTATTTTCTGCTACCTAAAAATCAAAAGAAAGGTGAGGTCTGGGAGTTATGACACAGAGTCTGGGCCTGTGGATCTGGTGACACGCTGGTGATGAGAGGAGACAGTTTACAGGACGCTGCCCAGTGGAGCCAGGCCAGAGCTGTCCACAGAGCAGGAGGAGCAGTGACGCATGGCTTATTTGTCCTGTAATTACCCCGAGGAGAGGAGTAGGCTGGTCTCTGAGTGTAACCCACCCATTACCCTACAGCTCCATCTAGTGGTGGAAAAGAAGTATTATCCAAACTGTTATCGCCACTAAATGGACTCATAGTTCTACAAAATATACTTTGTTCTGGTTGTCATTATTATGTCTTCATTGATACTTTGCAGTGGCATCATGCTGGGGGTGTTCTGCAAGTATGTCTATGGCAAAATGTTCAGCGGTTACCAGTAGCAAACAACCCAAAGTTTGAAAGCTCAAGGAAAAATCAAAATGGACTTAAACAACACATTTTCAGGAGCCTGTGATCAAAAAGAGACACTCCTGTTTAGGTGTTTGATTTTCAGTAACAAAGGTGAGAGGTGAGAGTGAAAGCTGTTGACTAATGCCAGCTAACTCGTGACTAATTTTATGAGCGACGTATTTGTTTAGCCGTACCTGTTGTAATTCTAACTTAGATTGGACAGATTGTGCTAAAACATAGTTAAGATTAAAGACTAATTTAAGTTTCAACAGAGCCAGAGCAGTGCCTCCAGTGTGTTAGCTGCATTTGACCCCATTGTAGGTGACCCAGCAGGGTTGTTTTGACAAACTACAGTACAGCACTTAGGTACCATTCTCTACATCAGGGGTCTCCAACCTTTTTCCTCTGGGGGAGCTACCTTCAATGAAACGAAAATGCCAGAGAGCTACTTATTTTAGCAGTTGCAAGAAATTGAAAATGTAAAAGAGCTATGGCAAGCTTTAGAGGGGGCACAGTGAGATGCCTATTAAACAAACTATTCATTTATTAGAGCACAAGTTAGGAATCAAAATGACACATTTACAGTGGAAATAAATACGATTTTAATTAAGTACATTGCATGTAACTCAGAAATCCTTTAGTGAGCTACTTGGAAGGTTAGTGGAGAGCTACCGGTTGGAGACGCCTGCTCTACATGTTTGGGGAAACAGGAATACTGTGAGAAAACCTGCCAAGAAAGGCTATATTGTTAGAGAATGCAATCACCTAATACACCTTTCAAACATTTAACTTTTTATCTGGAATCTTTTTATCTCCCTTAGTCAATTACTGTTCTCAAAAACAATTCTCATATTTTATCACCAGAGAAGCATAAAGCCATTAATTGTACCTTTTGTGTTGCGTTTGTCTCGCTGGGAGAAGGATTTTCAATTACACTTTGGCTTGGCTCTGGAGCTTCTTTCTTGTCGTCCTCTCTGTCCACCTCTTCCTCTCCATTATCAGAACTGATGTCAACCACAGGAGGCACTGAAAGGAAGGGACATTGGAACTAAGCCACCAGTCTACAATTTCCTCTTTTTTTTTTAAGTATCAATACATCTCACATTAAAAAGGGATTGCAGTGGTTTAAACAAGATACACTTGAAACACAGAAAAAGAGGTGGTATTACACTTCTATGGGGCATATTTTCACCATGTTACCTTTTATTTTTGTTATATACTGTATTTTTTGCACAAATACAAAAAAATCTGTACAATTTACAAAATACGTATTGTAATAATAAATGATAACATACAATTTAGTAGTCTCTGACATAAAACAGTGTGTGAAAAGGACATACCGGCGTAGTGTGCAGCATAAGTCCATAAGAAAGGAGCTTTGTTCATGCAACCCTCACAGACCATATCCTGTAAATCCTCGGGTTCCAACACAGTGCCACCTAAATGCTGTTAAAGACAATACATTTTACATTTTTGGGATTACTTTTACTAGTTTGTCTCGATCCTAAAATTCTCAATTTCGATACTATGGAATTGACTCAATACTACAGTTACAACATCATAATGAAGATATAACATGCAATTTTTTGTGACAGAATGTAATTTTCATAGACAAAATAATAGCAGTTTCTTTATCTTAACCATGAGATCTGATACTAGTTCTGATGAAGATCAAAATAACATTAAAACTGGAAAATCAATTCGTGTCTACATTTCAGTACTTTTGACCACCCTACACTTGACTATCCACCTTCAAAGAGAAGAAGGTGACACCACTAGGCCAAATTACAGCTCAGATCTGTGGAGAAGAGACCTCACTTGCAGAGAGAATGCATGTTTTTCAAGGTATTTTTGAGCAATACAAATACCTGTCATAGACGCATTTAATCTATAATGTTCCAAGTATATCAGTATACCAAACAAGTAGGTGGCATACCCTTTGCAATAAAAGTTACCAAGATTAAGGGTGTGCAAAAATATTGAATGATCACTATATTGTATCGTTTAATGTGGTGATACAGTGTCAGTATCGTGGGCTTCTGTATCGCTATATCACCAAGAGTATTTCTAGGTATATTTCACTAAATTATTTTGCTACAGTGCTACAGTTTTGTTGCTTGTTCAGAGGAAGGAAACTGATTTAGGCAGCAGATTTGACATTTTCACAGTTTTGATGATTAAAATGGCATTCATATTCATTTTGCACAAGAAGTGGTTTAACAAAGACTTTTAGTGTCACAGTCCTGATTGAGCAATTGTGCAAGTGTCAAATCGAATTGAAATATCATATTGAATCATATCGAATGATACCCAGCCCTACTCAAGAATTATTCTAACACTTTTGAGGAAAGGTTCACTTCTGTCCTGTGAATGTGACTTTTTTAGTACCTGCTCAAAGAGAGTATCTAGTTTCGATTCTATTAACAAACTTTCAAGACTTATGACACCCTACTCTCTGGTGACCAAAGCTCTATAAAAACTGTGTTACCGATATGCTTGTGTATTTTCTGCCAAATTGCTAATGAATCAAACTCATCTTTTAAATGTCCTTACCCTAGAGTGATACCAGTCCTCACAGATGACGCACTGAATCATCTCGTCACTATCCTGCAGTAAAAAACAAGGAAGTTAGATGATAATTAAAATGCCAAATTGTATCAAACCAGTGGATCAGGAAACATACCTGGCCATCTGGGTCTGGGTACGGTCTGTCACACGTGCAATAACTGCCATGGTAGTTGTGATTGTATTGATTTTTCACATTCTCTGCATCTTTGGTCTGTTGGTTAAAAACAACAACTACATTAAAGGTCCTGTATTACACAAAATTGACTCTTGTGAGCTTTAAGTCATGTCAGTATGCTGTTAGTTCACCAAAAATATCCTCGGGGTTGTGCTGTATTTCAATTACTATGTGGACACTATAAAGCTGTCCACATCTTCTAACCTCAAAATGCTCTGTTCCACCTTGTGATGTCATGTAGTGTTAGTTTTCAAGCTAATTTCATCTTTTGTTCAGTAGAGATTTGCAGTCCAAGACTGAAATTATCCAAATGATTCTATTGAAGGTGTGTGGATCCTAAATAGGGATGCACTGATACTGATACTGTTATCGGTGCTGATCCAGGAGAAAAATGTAGTATAGTAGTCGACAGAGGCGGGACCAAGTCGTTGTTCTGCAAGTAAGTCTCAAGTCTTTGACCTCAAGTCCGAATCAAGTCCCAAGTCAAATACACGCAAGTCCAAGTCGAGTCTCGAGTCACTGGTCCATAAATCCAAGTCAAGTCATCTGATTTAAAAGTAATCTAAAGTAAGTAAAAGTAAAATTAATCTGTGCTGAAATGGAAAGATCATGTTCTATGTAGTTCCCTCTGTTTTACTGTATTGTTCTGTATATTACTGTAGTACATTTGAGGATACCACAGTATCACAGTACTTCAGTTACATCCAAAGTAACTGTAAGCACCATTTTATAAGGTTTATTTGCATAAATAATTAACAATTCCTAATAATTCATTTATGTGTTTGATTTAAAAGAAAGAAAATTGATACATGATTTGAACATTTGGGGCGCACTAGTGCCTATCTGTATTCTCATGTAATTACATGTGAAGAAATGCTGTCCTTGTTAACAGTAAAGAAAAGAGATGGCTGGAGCAACAAGGTCGTTTTACTGTGCTACAACGACATCAAGTTGCAATCGCGTAAGACAGCCTCATTAGTCATCTTTCTTTGTAAAGAAGTTAAGTTAGTAACAAGGAGAAAACAAATCAAAGATTAGCCTCTACAGTAACAAAGTTTATAGTTTTTAGATTATAGTTTTTGGCAGAAGCATCAAGTCTTCTCAAGTCAAGGGCCTCAAGTCCGATTCAAGTATCAAGTCACTGACCTTCACGTCCAAGTCGAGTCCCAAGTTAGTTTATTTTATCAAGTCAAGTCTCAAGTCCTAAAAACAGTGACTCAAGTTTGACTCGAGTCCAAGTCACGACTTGCAAGTCCCCAGCTCTGGTTGACTTCGTTGGGCTCTTGACTGACTGATGTAGGCCCAGGATTTCTCGTGGTTTGAACTTTAATTCATACAAAGCTGTTCAGTAGTTACTTCCAAGATACATAACAGCTACATAACACAATCAGATACATTTTGTAATAAGTTAACTGTATTTTGAAAGAAAAAAAATGCCATTTTCAGTGCCTACACTGGTATCAGTTAATATCGGACATTGGCAGATACTTAAAGTCATAGTATCGATATCGGTATCAGAACTGAAAAACCTGTGTCGGTGCATCTCCAGTTCTAAAAATTTAGCCTTAATATGCAGGGTTTACGTGTTAAACATGTGTGAATCAAACAACATTATAATAGATCAGGAAATGACAAATGTTTAATTTAATAGAATGAGGAACATCAAAAAAACTCACCGGAATCAACTGGCACTTAAATTCCCCAAACTTGCTATTCCCACAATCACAGCGAAAGTTCCTGTTTGCAAATAGAAAGTAAGCATCTCATACATAACTACACACGCCCTTTTCATTTTCAGTTTAGCTCCAGGTTCAGCTCACCTCTTAGTGAACAATTCAACAATGTCGTGGTCATCGTGGCACTTGTTGACACAGGCCAGGCAAACCCCAGCTGGCTTATCGGGATTAGAAGTGCAAGTCATACATGCAAACACTGCCTGCCGCTTCACGTAGCCCTGCCAAAACAGCAAGATATACGGGGCTTGTTATTTGGGATGTCTGGCCTCCCATTGATCATCACTGTGTTTTATTGCATTAGAAAGAATGAATGAAAACATGCATAGTAGGGGTGGAACGATATCCAAATCTCTCTGTACGGTATTTTCATGATATGCATCTCATGGTACAATATTTATTTCCTCTTAAAATGCCTTGACAAGACTTTGATTCTGTCATAGTCCAAATAATTAAGATTTAATAGTGCCAAATAACAGTTATTTTTCATGTAGTCTGCACTGAAACAGAGCAAAGGATCATGGTCTGTGTAGTTCCCTCTGTTTTTTAGCTCATGCTGCACCTTTACAATGAATGGGGTCTACTCACACTTACGTCACAAAACCAGAAGACGTTTGGAAACATGCGGGTGACGACTTCCTTTGGGCTTTGTAGGCATTAGTAACAGACATCTGACAAAATGTGAAGACAAAAACTGAGAAAATGGCCAGGTTTCTTCATCTAGATGTCATTGTAGTCTTTATTTTTTCCTTTTATGAACTGCCTCTTAATTGGTGCATTATAATTTGTCTAACTTAATAAAAAATATATATGTCATTATATCATTTCGCTATTGTTAAAGAGTTTTCCAAATGCTGTATATCGCTTCTTTGTCTTATTATTATTATCAAATGGTATTTCTCACGGGAAAACCAGTTCCTCATTATCTGTTATCTTCCTCAAGGACAGTCCTCCCTATATCCACCTTGATACAAACCACTCAGCAGCTGGCAGGCACACACACACACACGCACAAGCACACGCACACGCACTCTTCTTTGTAGTACTTTTCTAAATGTAACCGCCCATTTATTCTTGTAACCTGTGTGATACATAAAATGCATGATGTTGGACAGTGGCTGTTCAGCAGTTAAGAGAGCTGTAGCAGCGCCACTGTCCCTCGCCGTGAGTAAAAACCCTGAATTCTGCCTTCTGAGTTTCTTTGTGTTAATATCTCTGCTATTTTCTGACAGTTATGTTCAGCAGATCAACAGTTATAACCAGCTGCCTGTAAGTGAAATCGACAATGCGATTTGAGTCCCGTCCCCATGGAAAGCTTTGGCAGGTTGTGAAGACGCTGCTGCTGAATCCATGGTTTCATCACATGATCAGTACTTGGACCGTATATATAAATATTCTTTATACAGTCTGTGGTCCGGTATCGGTAACTCCAACAGAAGTCGTCATCTGCATGTTTCCAAACATCTTCCATAAAGCGTGAATAGAGCTTATTAAGAGACTTGTAATTCGATATATTGTAATGGCCTACGATATTATTGAAGCTTTTGACGATACGATATCACGATATTTCGGTTATTGTTACATCCCTAATGCATAGTAGGGCTGTATGAATCGAAAATTAGTTAGTGCAATAACCAAATTGCAAAGACTGTCATTTAGAAAATACTGTAGTGTGAAAGCTCAAGGAAAATACAAAATGAATTTAAACACATTCTCTGAAGCCTGTGATCAAAACGAAGCACACCTGTGACCAACTCCTTGATGAAAACCTGCAAAGTAAAGCCATCGTAAAGCTGTACAAATAATTACAGTCAAATTAAAACTGAGTTATGTAATTTAGAAAATAGATTGACGTCAATAAGACATAAAAAATCTCGCTTTACCTGTAAGTTTACACCTCTCTACAAGCATGTTCTGAAATTCATATGGTTATTTGATTAGGTAATCAGCTCAAATTTCAGTCGACTCCCAAATGTTAATGCTCTTGGACTTAATGGTGCTCTCAGAATCCTAAAATAAATATCTGTTATATATTCTTTTAATCTTCTACAGATTATCATACATTTCAACATAATGTCTACTGGATAAAAGTCAAAGAAGGATGGAATAATTTTAGGATTGCAACTGTAAATAAATGTCTTTGTTTTTGTTTTTTGTTGTTGTTTTTTTAACAAAGACTCATTAAATGGCACATCTGTTTTTGCAAATCTTTTCCAAAATCTACAGCTCTTAAATTTTAGATGTAACATTTAACATTGCTACATCCATTCTCAGTAAAACAGCAGTGCACTGTTGAAGTGGGACCAGAGAGCTAGTTAAACAATGGTCAGACGAGCACGGATGCTTCAGGACACCCCTGCAGCAGCACTTACCTGTGGATAGGAGCAGTTTTCTGAGTCGCTGCCAGCTAAAATACAAAGCGCCTGCTCCAAAAAGGCTTCGTCTACCACCTCCAACTCGTGTCCGTTTTGGTTTGCGTTATTTTCTGCCATGATCTAATCGGGAAAAGCTACAGGCAACAAAAGATGTGCAGAGATCCGAGGAGGGCAGAGGTATTCACTGTAGTAAATAATTCCGGGCGGGAGTTTGGGTGCGCACCACGTGGGGAGGAAGTGACGTCAGAGGTCCAGGGAGCCAATCAGCGCCCGCTCCTGGTTTAGGCAAAACAAAAGGGCGGAAAGAACTCATTAGCATATTAGAAAATGGCCAAAGGAATAATGGCTGTATTAAAATAACTAAATAAATAAAATGAAATAATAATAAAATAATAAATACATAAAACAAAATAAATAATAGATAATAAGAAAATTTTAAAATGAATAAATAAAATAAATAAATAAAATAATGGGACATCGAGAGTAGAGGTCGTTGGTACAATAAAATTCAGAAAAAAGTGGGATCAGTGAGGTCTACATTGGGAAACAGGAAAAAAAAATCAGGATTAAATTATACACTACATAAAATAGAAAACCATACTAGCGGGCATTGTGACAACTGTGGAAAACGAGAAAGAGTATAGCATGTATTTATGGATTGTAGCAAATATACAAAGATAAGAAATCAAGATTAAGAACCTTAAAATGAAACTTGACTTAACAGAATTACTGCAGCAGCTAAGGAAGTAGTTTCGAAGTTTTATTTAAGTTTGTATATTATGTCTTGCCAAATTTTACATCCACAAATGTAAAATTCAGAAATGTCCCCCTAACTTTGCTTGTTTTAAAAACTAACTCAGATTATATATAAAAGCTCTGAAACATATGAATGGACCTAAACCTCAAAAAGTGTATTCCTACATGTGTGAAATACCCCTGGACTTTATGAACTCAGGCTGAATGAGCTCTACTTCCCTTGCCATTATCCTTTTCCATTCCTAAATACACTTTTTTTTTTGTATTGTATTGTATTGTTATATATATATATATATATATATATATATATATATATATATATATATATATATATATATATATATATATATATATATATATATAAATTAAGTTTGTCAGGAATTTGATTAACAGGATTTTATTTATTATTTTGCTTTAGTTATTATTTGCTCACTGTTGTTGTTATTTATTTATTCATTCATTTTATTTTATGTATTTATTTTTTTGTTGTTACGCTCCTTATCAGTATCAACAAAACTCCAGACAGTAGAAGAAGAAGAATTTGCATATTAGCCACATTAGCTCAACATAAAAAGGACTAGTATGAAGATATATTAAAACACAAAACCATGAAATATTTTTACAACTACATTAACATCTTATTTATGACTACAAACACATTTTTCTTACCTCTTCTGTAGGCCAGGCAGGAAGGCAGCCCCTCAGTAGTCTGTTGCTATGTTGACATTATGTGTAAAATGTGTTTTTGTCATGGAAACTGAAAATAATTCTCAACATTCTGTGAAAAGCTGGAGAGACAGGAAAGCTGAAACTGAAGCCCATCCACACATACTTTCCATATATTTGCCTGGTATTTGCAGGGAAATCAGTTCTGGCTTTGTTAACACATGGTAGATCAGGGTGAATGTGTGAATGGGGCTTAAAGGATCAGAGACACTACTTAACGTGCATGACTAGGGTGACCAGACGTCCCTATTTACTTGGGACAGTCCCAGTTTTGAGCCCTGTGTCCCCTGTTCCAGCAGATTTATCCAAAACCAATGATATGTCCCAGTTTTATGTAAGAAATGTCCCAGGTGTCCCTATTTTTAACCAATATGATCTAAACCAGGACTAAAACATGACAATCATAACTTATGACTAATCTGATCCATACCAACAGTAAAGATGAGCATAAATTGCCATTTGTTTAGCCAAAATACAGAAAACCATGTTTGCAAATGACCAAAAAGCAAAAAAACAAAAACAAAATTGCAGATACAGAAGTCCCTCAGATTATGAAATGAGAATGCACAATCTTACAGGCTCTTTTTCACAATTTTATTTATACCAAACATCCACACTCATGTGTGTCCCAGTTTAGAATTGCATGACAGGAAAATCAGAGAGTTAAAATGGATGTAAACCCAGGGACTACAATTGAGACGCAGTGAATCGAATCTCAAAGATCCCCAAAACACATCTGGCTGTGGTTGTGACCCCTAACTCTCAAAAGGACACTTTGAGGAAAAAAGCAAATCACATGCAAAATAAACAATTTTAGGCCTAAATCTGTGAAGTTTGAAGATTTGTGAGGGCATCGGAGAGATTGAGAACACAGAATGAGAGGATGTATAGCAAAGTGTACATTTATTTCCTGTAAGAAAGGAAGTATTAAAAATTCACAGTATGTGCAAAAGCAACGAAGATGTCCGCAACAGAATGGAATGCTTAATTAACTCGTTAACCAACAAGATGGCACCTCTTTAATACAGTTTTCATTCAATGTTTTAATCAGAATTCTAAAGGCAATCACGGCACAGCATTAAAATAGATATGTATTTTATAGCACTAAAAGACTTGAGGAGTGTTCAACAAAATCACTAAAATCCTAATGTGAAACAAATACTCAAGCGTTTCCCAATAAAACCTGTCGAAAGTAAACAATGCCCATTTACAACAAACATAACATGGTAACAGACTAGAGTGGAGAAATTTCAGAATCATTCATGATCACAGATAACTGACTTTGCTTATGACCTAATGTACTGAAGGAATAAAGTGCTGCTCAGCATGTTGTAACAAGATGTGGGCTCACTTGTAGAAATGTAGATTACTGGTCCTTAATGCTAAGAACAGGGTCCACCAGCTTGTTATGGACGTGCATCAGACCTTAAAGAAAAAAGCAATAAGATTAAGTAAGAGCAATGGAAAACTGAAACATATTTCATTGTTAAAAAAGTGAAAGACACCGTGCTAGACATTGTGTAATTAAGTAAACTGCTATTTTTAATTATTAATTCTGTATTTTGTGTATGTGTAGATCTAGATTTTGAAAGAACCTGTAGTACCTTTAAAGTATTTGACAGTTTTAACTCGTAGCTCCAGGGTGGCATCCTCATCACAGACAAAGATGGTGCGGGGGTGCTGTTGGAAAGCTGACACCGTCCACATGTGATTGACCCCTTCTTCAATGGCTTTATACAGAGCAAAGGCTTTGTGTGCTCCTGTAATCAGAATCATCACCTGAACAGACAACAGTACAAACAGTATTAACACCTCACATAGTAGTACAAGTGGGATGAATACAGTGGTGGATGAAGTACTCAATTTTGGTACTCAAGTAAAAATATAGATAAAGGGTCAAAAAAAGATTTTAAAAAAACTAAGCAGCTAGTTAATAATTCAACTACGATCCCCAAACATTTCATATTTTACTTTAAAACTAATGCAGATTCATAGATAAACGCTTTATGGTGCATTTTTTTGTATGCACATTTGCATTATTATTTGTCTAAAATGTGATTTTGTTGACTTTTGTTGCAGCATTTGTCTAATCACCTGTTCCAAGTGTGTGGTTTTGGATGGTCAGGCAACTGTAGCATGGCAAGTAGAACGTTTGGTAGTGTCAATGTTATGAAATATAAATTAAAATACCATATTGTATTCCACACAACTTGGATATTGCAACACTCTTATTTACTTACTTTCACTTTTATAATAAGGTCATGTTTTTTTTTCTACTTGCCTCTTTAGCATCCATGACAGTTCCAACACCCACAGTCAGAGCCATGGTAGGAACCTTGGAGAGGTCATGGCCGAAGAACCGTGCGTTTGCAACAATAGTATCCTTAGCAAGCGTCTTCACTCGAGTTCTGGACACTAGACTGGACCCTGGCTCATTGAATGCTATGTGACCATCAGGACCAATACCTTGAGGAAGAAAATCAAAACATGACTGAACTGTTCTGGTAGAAAAGATTATATGGTATAGAAAATGTGTACATGATAATATTACCTCCGACAAATAACTCAATACCACCAGCCTCAGCAATCTTCTTCTCAAAAGCTTGACATTCAGTATCTAAGTCGTCCACGTTCCCATCCAGAATGTGGGCGTTGGCAGGATCAATGTCAATATGCTTGAAGAAGTTGTTCCACATGTAAGAATGGTAGCTCTCTGGGTGTGCACGAGGTAGACCTGCAGAGAAAATAAGAATGTTACACTTTTTTTTAAAGACGGAGGCAACATCCAGTATTCCTGATGACTACAAAAGGAAAATCCAATACACTACCGGTTAAAAGTTTTAGAACACCACACTTTTTATAGTTTACTGTTTCCTGTAAACCAAAACATATTCTAAACTTTTGATTCATGAAAGTGTCCACCTTTGGCAGATATAACAGCTGAACACACTCGTAGCTCGTTCTTTTTACAATAGAAATCAAATATTCTTCAGAAAGTTCTCCCCAAGTCTGTTGCAGAAGTTCCCATAAATGTGTGGCACTTGTAGGTTTCTTGGCTGTCCAGTTCAGCCCAAACCAGCTCGATGAGGTTGAAGTCTGGAGACTGTGCTGGACACTCCATGTTTTCAAGTTTACCATCTTGTTCTTTTTTCCTGAGGTAGTTTTGTCAGAGCTTGGACTTGTGTTTTGTTATCTTTTATCTTTTTTAACCTCTTGCTGTTCAGTTCTTACCTTTGTACTATTTCAAGCTCTTCAATGGACTTGCATGTCTTGAATAACAATAAATAACTGGAAAAATTAGGGTGTTCTAAAACTTTTGACAAGTAGTGTATATTGAACTTCAACAAAGTATTATTCTGCTATGTTTTTGTAAGGACATCTCAAAATATGCACGCACACGACATTTCCCAAGACTACATCTAACATTACAACTACAATTATAAATTTTTTGCATTACAATTACTGTGAGAAGAAACATCACAATTACACAATTATTCATATTTACTGACACTGTGACCAAACAACAGTGATCTTAAATTTTGTCTCAATTTGCATAATATCAGACTGTCTAATAAATCACAATTCCTTATGTACGTGACCAGTTTTATGAAATTATAACATTAACATTACCATCTGAATGATAAAGTAAACAACCAGATAGATTAAATGACTTTTTTTTTTTAAAGATCTTACCATTATATTGAGACCTGAACAATAATGGATTAACAAAATAATCGTAACTATCTGCAACCCAGTAATATATTTTTGCAAGCCTGTCATTATGCATAGAGCTGATCAACACAAAAAAATAGGAACCACTAGAATAAAACTACTTACACAACCCAAAAATAATCCACAGATAGATGTATTGGATCACTGTATTGACTTATTGAGATACAAAGGTGAAAACAGCAGCTGCATTGGCTAACGAGTTATTGACTTACCTACATATTCATCCATGTTGAAGGTTTTCACATACTTAAATGAAATATCGCCATTTTTGTAGTATTCGATAAGCTTCTTGTAACAGCCAAATGGAGTGCTTCCTACAAGTGTGCAATCAGAGAAAGGAGAAAATAAAAGTTCAGTTTACTGAGAATGGATGTGGTGTGACTGACAGCTGTACAAACCTGTGGGTAATCCTAAAGTGAAGTATTTGTCAGCAGAAGGTTGAAACTGGATGATTCTGTTGCGGATATACTTAGCAGCCCACTCACTAGCCAGGTCATAGTCGTCCAAAATAACAAGTCTCATGGCTACCTGTACCAAAGAAGTAATACAGAATAATTCCAACGCAGTGGCAGAAATAATTTATGGTGCCAAACGATTGCTTTTTACAACTATCTAAGACATAAAGCATTAGAGTAAAGATTTCAGGTAAGCTCTGCAGAATAAAAAACAAAGTCGTCTGTGTCCGGTAATTTAAAGCGGTTATATTTTTTACATGATTAACTTTGGTATTACGCAGTACTTACCTAGTTTCGTGCGCGATTATTGTTGAAAGTTTGGCACTGCACAAACACCGCTGTCATGTGATTTTCGTCTGTTGACTTGCCTTTACGCACGGTTTTACGCATGCGCTTATACCGACACACATTGGACTGGAGGGGAACTGGAGATTATAAAGAAAATATTGAAGACATACGCAATGTTTTAATCAATCAGAGAAGTTTTTTATCTTTATAATATATTCACAATGCGCCACTAAATATTCCTCTATGAAATTGTAAATTAATCACCATTACGTACGAAAGGAACGTGATGCACGCTCCAGACCAGGAGGTGGCGGTAGTGCTTTAAAACCGATGGTGGCCAAACGCAGATTGTAAACAGTGAGCAGAAGAAGACAGTCAACTAGAAAGAAAAGCACGTTTTTATTCGACGGAATTTGTGCAACAAAGTAAGTTTAAAAATAATAAAAAACCGTGTGCAATAATTATCTTTTTGTATTTAGAGCGATTAGGTTAAGTTATGCCATGAACAGCAAGCACTTAAAGATCCACATCTTATTTAATCATGGGCAATGGTGTTCAAGTCTCTATTGTCCAAGTGATGTTATCCCAGTAACGTAATTTTGAAATGCTATAAATGAAATGTTGAACTTTGGATTGCTTTAATTTACAGATAAGAACATCAGATCACCAAATCGATCGTTCTGGAGAGAGAAGTTGGACCTTGTCTGTTTCTCCACGTGTGCAGAAGAGGGCGAGGTATAGTGTGTTTTTTTTTTTTTTAAGTCAGTCTATCTGGCTCTATTTTCTGAGATTCACGCAACTAACGTGAGTCTGTGATGAAAATTAGCCAAATCTGAGAGCTTGAGGTCAATCTTGAGCCAGTGATTATGCATGAGAAGCCTGATGATGTGATTGTGTGTGATTGTGTGTGACTGTGTGTGACTGTCTGATTGTGTATCACAACTGAGCTGTGATGTGAACCTCCTAAACCTGACGTGCCCTCAAGAAGAGCATTCATGAAGGTTTCTACACTTGAACTGAGCTCAGAACACATGCCTGGTTTTCACAGTGGTTTAATGTAAAGTCTATTATTGTGTTTTGTTTTGTTTTGTTCCAGGCTTAATCACTGACTCCATCTGAGCTCCGGCTGCAGGGCTAATCACTCTTCTTTGTATATGTTAAATGGTGAACTTTTAATATTGGATCACTGACAAACCAGACAATAAACACTGTTTCATAATTTTTGTGTGACTGAATTTGTTGTGGTTTTAGTGGCTCAAATCTCATGACTCTAAATTTTTCAATGCAAGTTTTATTAAGTTATTTATATTCACTCAACAGTCACCCGAGTGAAAAGTAGCTAATTATTTATACTGCTATCACTGTAATTGAGCAGATTTTTTGAGTAGTTTTAAAATCAGTACTTATAATCATGCAATCAGTAGTTGCATAGTATTCAGTATTCATGATTTTAAGTCCCAATTGCCTCAATCCATGACTGTCTCACACATCTGTTTTTCTAAACCAACAAACACACCATAACAGCATTGCATTTCTTGCTCTGATGGGGGTTCAAAGACTATGCAGATTGAATGTATGTAGTTGTTTCAAACCACAGCTTTAAACTATTCAACTTGTATAAAATACTGATCTAAAATGCAGATAAAATTTGCAGTACTTTCCCCCCCCCCACTACTGACAGTCCCCATGGCCAGTCCAAAAAATATTTAAGACTGGCCTCTTAAGTTTAAACATGAGTTTTTCTTCAGATGCATATCATGAAAGTGCAGCCTTCATTCAGCTTTAAAAACAATTGATCTATTGCAAACTTAAGAGCAATCTGAGTTACTCTGATGCTGATATGCACACCCCTGCTTCAGTTTCCTGTATAAAAGCTGTTATAAGCTTTGCTAGTGGGAAAAAAAAAACACATTTGAAGACTATAGCTCTCACAAACCTTTCAGCACATCGATAAACAAGTTCAATTTAAATATCTTTCAAATTAGCCAATTACCTTTGAAATTAGGTTCCCCAGTCATTAACATTAACACATATCAAAAATATTTCTAGATTTCTTTGACTCTAATTAATGAAAAAAAGAAAATGATACAGATGTAAGACTGCTTAGATAATTTATTTAACAAACTGCTTAAAGATGAGGTCAACAGTTTAGTGTAAGTACTGAACAAATGTAACATCGGAATTGTTTTGTGCGGATGGTAACATGAGGAATAAAAGTCCACGATCAAAGGAGTTTTGTAAAGAGGGACGTGGCTTGAGTGGTCCCAGGAACAGCGCGGTCTGAATGCACCAACATGGTTTTGGCTCAGAAAAAGTCCATTCTACTCTTTCTTCTTGTAGTCCTCCAAGTGGGCCAGAATCCACCCAGATGGTCCCAGGATGGCCAAGCTGAACAACCCAAGGCTCACGGAGGTTTCCTGGAGATAGAATAAAACACAATTTAAAAAGATGTAACCAAGTGACAAGAAGGGCATGTAGCAAGAAGCACAAGAAAACAAAAATTACAAATACTGTCTAATATAAGGCTAGTAAAATAAAAGGTATGGTAAACAGCAGACAGCAGCAGGATTCTACCACGATCTTAAGATCTGATATGGGGGCAGAGACTTTAGCAGTTTTCTATAAATTTTGTTAAAGTTTATTTGATCTACTTGAGTTTGTGTATAGTTGAATTATGTCACTTACAGTCTATATTTAATTATTTTTGACCAATGTAGTTGCTTTCATAAGTTTATGATAATATAAGGTGCAAAAATAGTCAAATTTTGTAATGTTATTATAGTCCAGATTATTTATAGACTATGTGGGAGCCTTTTAGGCAATGAGGGCCACCATAATCTCCTGTATTAAATGGAAACACTGAAATGGACTATTAAGCACATTATCACATATTTATTTAGGTAACTTAGGCGGATTCATTTTCATTAAGCATAGGGGATAAGTCTCCGACAGAGCTACATTTTAGGGTGACCAGATTTTCAAAATAAAAAACTGGGACATCTCTGGTTTGGGTTGGATTGGTTAGAACAGACATGTCAAACTCAGACCCGGGGGCCAAATTTGGCCCACGATATAATTATATTTGGCCCACAAGATCATATCAAATATGTTTTAGAGCTGGCCTGTCGGCTACAGATAGACTATAGAGACATTATTTATTTAAAATGTTGTTATTATTTTATATTATATTTGTACTGAATTCAATGTTTAAGCAAAACTATCATTAAACATTTATTTTAATAAGAAAAGGTTTAACATTACATATCTTGAAAGAAGAGAAAACATGCAGATATTGTTGAAATTTTTGAATAAGTATTTAGTTTGGTCCACGACTTACTCCCAGTTTTTAATTTTGGCCCTCTGTGAATTTGAGTTTGACAGCCCTGGGTTAGAATAAACTTATGAAACAAGGAAAAGGAAAATAGTTCTGCACTCAGCACTAATGTGAGTCAGTATAGTCACATTTCCTTTGTGTTTTGGTCATTTTTAAGCAGCTTTTCTGTATTTTTACCTAAACAAGTGACGAATGTTTGCTTCTCTTTACTATTGGCAGGGATCAGATTGGTCAAAAACAGGGACACCTGGGACATTTCTTGTACAAAACTGCGACAAATCTGCTAGGATAGGGGACACAGGGTTCAAAACAGGGACTGTCCCGGGGAAATGGGAACGCGAAGTTACTCTCCTACAGCTATTTGACCGTCTATGGGAATGCTACTTTGCTAACAGTGAAGCAGCACATGCGTGACAGTTTATAATAAAACCTGACGGATTAAAAAAATTGTCATATATTATTTAAGATTTAGGAATAACCTCTTTAAAATGTGTAAGTCAGTATTTGTCCGATGTTTTGACAGAACTCCCAACTTGACCTCCTCGCCCAAGGACAGCTAAGCGCTAACTAGCAGCTAACATTAGCCTCCGAGTTGCGCTGATCGTGATAAAACGAAAATAGTCTCACCACCGCGCCAATCTTGGCCTGGGCCGGTCTGTGGCCCAGGTTCGCCGTCTGTGTGCGGACCACCGGGGCCACACGGCGGGTCAGGACCCTCAAAATCCCAGGCATGTTGAGTTTGTGTTGGCTCGGGTTTAGCTCACGATCCGATGCGCTCTGAAGAATGAAGGAGAAATGTGAGATCTATTTGTCATAGCGGCAGAGGAGCGCCACCTGCTGGTCAGGGGCAGAACAGCTAAATGTCAACGCTAAACTTAGACTAAACTTTATTGATCCACAAGGGAAATTATTTGGACACAGTTGCTCACACATCAAAATATAATATAACAACTAAGAGTGTAAAAATAACCAAAATATCGTGATATCGTAATATCAAAAGTCTCTCAGTATCGTGGGCCATCACAGTATATCGAATCACAAGCTTAAATTCATTGTTGAGCTGCTTCAAAATGACAAAAACACAAAGAAATTGTGACTGACTCAAATTAGTGCTCAGTAGAGAACAACTTTCCTTTTCCTCGTTTCACAATTTTATTATAACCAAACCAACTGCTTAAAAAAAAACCAAAAAAACAGACCATGATTCTCTGCTCCTTTTTGGTGCAGAACAGCGGAGGAGGGGGGAGAACAGGGGAGGAGGGGGGAGTCGTATCTTTCCTCTCGCTCCTCAGATCAGAATGAGCGGAAAAGTTCCGTGGCCCAAATCAAACTCTGCGAATCCGCGCTGTGGCTCCTCTCTCGTTTAGTCAGATCATTAAAAAAAAAAAAGTCCTTCTCAGAGTCACCGCAAGCGCACAAAGTGCAGCTTAAACTTCAGGCCTGATTTAGCTTTGGTCAGATGGTTGGTCAGTTGAACTATTGGTCAGTTATCGTGCCCTGCTGCCACTCTCTCAGGTGCTCAGGGTGACAGGGTTCTACTGGATTTCAGTGGGGCTCATACCACTGTCTGGTGTCTACATGTTTTTCTGATGAATCTCAGTAGTTACCTTTAAGGAACCTTTCATTTGATTTTGTTCAGATGTCAATGCCTTGCTCACTCTTCAGTTATTTATCATAGGTTAGTAGGCCTACAGATTTTTGTAACCTGTGCTTACAGTTGAAAAAATTTACTACAATCAATTTATTTCACTTTTTCGCTGTAGGTGCTGGTTTTTAGGCAGTGACAATTCTATTCTACTGAAACAGAACATAACATAAGGCTAAGTGTTTATTTGTTGATGTTGGAAAACTTGTGATTTTAAAGCAGTCTAAGGACAATACTATTCTAATTTCAGTGTCATAGTTTTATTCACCTCTTGTTCCCCTACAGACTCAGCCTCTGCCTTCTAACAGTGCACACAAAACACTAAAAATTCTACGTTTATGATCAAGGCAAGGCAAGTTTATTTGTATAGCACAATTCGTACACAAAGTAATTCAAAGTGCTTTACAGAATAAGAAATACATTAAAATCATAATAAAAACTAATCAAAGCATAAATAATCATAAAGATTAAAATGAAAAAAGAGAGACACAAATTGGAGAGAAGAGTGCGGAATGCAAACCTTTCAGTTATATGCACAGTCAAACAGAAATGTTTTGAGCCTGGATTTAAACAGCGTCACAGAAGAGTCTGTCTCACATGTTCAGGAAGACTGTTCCAGGTTTTAGCTGCATGAACCTGAAACTCTGACTCCCTTGTTTAATCCTGACTCTGGGCACCAGCAGGAGGCCGGTCCCTGAGGTCCTCAGAGTGCGAGATGGTTCATATGGCATTAACATGTCACAGATGTACTTTGGTGCTCAGCCATAGAGAGACTTGTCAATAATAAATACATTCGAACATTCTTAATTATGCAATATCAGATCTCATTGGCAAACCCCATTGATTATAGCAGCAGTTCCACGTGAGGGCTAATCCTTTGTAGCCCCATGTAGTCTAATGCAACAGGCAACAAGGGAGCAGTCAGTCAGAGGTATGTAATAATCTGCTTGTTACTCTAATGCCTCAGCTTTTCCCCACAATACTTTTAGAAGAAACACCAGCAACTACTCATTTCTATTCCAGGGATTTTGATTTCTATTATTTTTAAGGGTGACTTCTTTTGATTTTGGACTTGAAGAGATGGGGCTGGACTTTGCTCTCAATATTTCTGATGAAGCTGTGCCTTATGGAGGAAAAAGTGCCTTTACCCAACTGGAGCATAACATAGTGGCTGCATATCTCATCACAGCAGGTAACGCCAATACTGGATGTGTTAAATGTTTGTAATTTTTCACAACAAAAAGTCAGTTTTTCTACAAGCACTACACTTTTAGTACTGTTTATGAAGCAAAATATATCTCAACACTAATAATTTACTTTGACTTAAAATCAAAAGATATCACTGTATAATAGCAAACTTGTCTTTTTTGATCTTGAAAAGACCCCAGCTCAGAACCTTGAACTAGTTTGTTTAAGAGCTGAACAAATAGTTGTAGATACTAGTTGTTTGAAGCCTTGATAATGTAATACTCATGTACATAATTATTCTACAAAAACATTCTAATACATTTAATCACTTATTTTGTTGATGCACCTACTTAATTTTCTATTTTTGCCAACTATTCTAGTACCAACTAACTCTTCAGTATTATTAAATGGGTTTATGTTTTTGTTTATGTCCACTGATACTGGGAAAGGATTATTCAGGTCATATTTATACTACACAATCTTATAGCAGCTCAAACTCTTTCTGGTTATTTAAAGACAGATTTTCCATGGTTTTGTCCTCCTTTCGGTTAGTCCTTATCCATGGTTTACTCAGCTAGACAAGTGGTTCTTATCCTTTTTTGTCTTGAGTATCCCCCAAGCGAAGTGTGGTCTCACACTCTGAGTGTCTCCTATTAGTGGTACTGGTGTTTTTGTAGTAATTATGCATTTGTTTATTCGTACATTTTCTTGCTTTAATAAAATGTGTGCCCACAATTATCCTACAAAAATATACTACAAGGAATATTTCACATTCAAATACCTTTCAATTAGCCAGGCTGGCGCCACCTTGTGCCTCCACTCAATTTCATTTCCTTCCAGCGACTAGGTCAGGAATTGAAATACACTAGACGGTTTGCAAGAACCCCAGAAGTGCAAGTCCTGGCACCAGCCAATCAGTGAAGAGCCATACATTCTGTGTTGTCAATGATTCCTGAGATTGAGGATTTAAAGCTGGAATAAAGAGAATGTTTGGTGAATTTTATCAAGGGGAAAGACGTTATTGCACTTTTTCCTACAGGATTTAGGATAATATACCATGTTATCCCATACATTATACGTTATACATACATCACAAACAAATAGCAGCGATTGGTTAAATGAAAAAAAGAACCCGCCGACCGTCGAGTGAACAAATCCTAACGATGCGAGGTCAGACGGTTTCTACGAAGTGAAACCGGCTGATGAATCAGTATCAGTTTAAGTACACACTGGCTTCTCTAGACCATGTTTAGCCTTAAGTTAGCTTTGATATAGTGTATAGTCTTCATTATAAAGCATCTATCTGTTCGCGCCATGTACTTAATACCAATGTAGCTAATTTGCCCTTATTATAATACTTTAATGTAATTAGTGAAAGTGAAACTGAAAGTGTCTGTACGTCATATGAAGTTCTAAAACATCTCAAACCAATTTATTCTCCATAAACTCTTGTATTTTATTTTATTTTTTGTTTTTCCAGGAGTGATCAGCTTGTCCAGTAACATCGTAGTCTTGATGATGTTTGTGAAGTTCAAGGAGCTCCGCACGGCCACCAACATCATCATCATAAACCTGGCCTTCACAGACATCGGGGTGGCGGGGATCGGCTACCCCATGTCCGCGGCCTCTGACCTCCATGGCAGCTGGAAGTTTGGGTACACGGGTTGCCAGGTTGGTCAAATGTCAGAGCTTTTATCATCACATACAGTCCATAACCCCATTTCAAATAGAGCTGCTAAACTGGGCAGAACCTGGAGGCGTGAAGGGAAGCGAGAGAGAAGAGGGGCGGGGTCTGGAACAGTGCGGTTCAGTTCTGTGTGATGTTACGTAGCACTGGAATTTGCAGTGGGCTTTAAAAGCAGCACATCAGCTCAGCTTTTAACATGTTTTTGCATACCAGTAGAGCTGAAAATACCTAGTTTGCGCTAAAATTGGTCAAAAATTATTAAAAATAAAACACTAAAGGTGGATTTAGTGTTTAGTTCCACTTTTTTCAGTGTTTTATTTTTGCTTTTTAGTTTGGAATATGCAATACACAAAAAACAAATGAAAAAAAAAAAAGAAAAAGAAAAGGGAGGATAATTCATTCAAGATTTCTGTAGTCCAATAGTTCAAACCGGGATGTAACGATATCCAAATCTCTCGGTACGATATTATCACGATATGCTTCTCATGGTATTGCATTTTTTATTTTTTTATTTTTTTGGAGAGGCTGATATAATTGTAAATAGGATGCTTTTTTGCTTTTAAAATACCCTGACAAGCTTTTGGTGTGAATTATTTCTGTTATAATCCCAAAAATTCAAGTAAAAAGAATACAACTTGATGTTGTCTGTAGTTCCCGATGTTTATAAGCTGTTACTACTTGTAATTCAATATATTGTGACACCTCACGGTATTATTGTGAGACTTTTGACTATACGATATCACGATATTTCAGTTATTGTTACATCCCTAGTTCAAACAGATACACAGAGGTCATTTCTGAGTATCATTGTATTCTGGGTAGGCGGGAATCAGACTTCCATGTGACTGCAAAGCATTTTCTTACCACTGCCAATGATATTTCCAAAACATTTATTTGGTGTTTGTTTAATGGTTCAGATTTCTCAAAAAGAAGGCAAAATTTGGTATCCAGAGGTATCGAAATTTGTGCGATTGTGGATTAGGCTTGGCAAAAGCCTAACCAGAAACCTTTTACTTTCACACATGACCAGATACAATGGAAGAAAGAGCCCAATTTGTGAAAATACATGGAAACACTGATCACAAAAATCTGTTTTATGAATTTTCTCTGGAGTTAGATATAACTGATGAAGGAAATGACTGCGTATAAGTCTATATCGAGCATTGATGGTGTGTTTAGTTCCACTTTAATCTCTTCCTATCATTGCAGTTATTTGCATGTGTGTGTTTTTTCAGAGGTAATTGATTTTAGATTTTTCTCTCCTTTATTTTCCATGTACACGTTTTGGTATTTCTGTATTGCAGGCCTATTACTGCAGACTATTGGACAGTATTTAATAACTATTTGTTGTAGGCATATAGAATTACTGTAAATTCCTAAAAAATATTCGCCATAGGGTGCATAAAAAACAAGTACAAAAGAGTTAAAGTTCCACTGTAACTTTTTTGTTGGGTGTACAATATCTGCATGTTTCTATGGATATGTCATTGCTCTGCCTGGAATGTTCCACAGTATGACATTAAACAGCTCTATCTTACATTTATTCAATTACAGGTGGTTTTATAACTCAAAAATGCCTAGAAAAACAGACAGACAGATCTGATTTGTAACTTGATCTTAATGAAGATAGAAAGGTATAATGCCATACTTTGGAACATTCCAGGCAGAGCAATGACATATCCACAGCGAGGAGCATTTGTTGACTCCTCCACCAGAAAAGTTACACAATGCACCTTTAAATATGCATCACTACCTGCCTGATCTAAGTTTATCAGTGAGATTAGCCTATTCATTGCATATTATTTTGTTTTGCCTGCTCCTCTGGTGGAATCGCAAATGTGACGTAATTTCATCAAGTGACTGCATTCCTTTTAGTCCACAATGAGACTTTACATCCTGCTCCTTTAAAGTCTTATGTCATTTCCACATGCTAAACAAACACACCAGCACATGGGCAAGAGGCTAAAGCTGGCCGTGAGCTGCAGCGTGTGCCCATGTGTGGACTCTGCGGCAGATTATTTGGTTCAGTTTAGTCTTTCAGAACAATGCAACGCCACGTGAGCACAAATCCACACAGGCTGTTTCGTAGATGCATACTTTTAAAATGAAGCATATTTGGGCCTTTTAATAGTGCTTTCTGGGGCCCAAATTTGAGAGATTCCTTATTTTCCAGCCATGTTTCTGCCACACTCACTCACACGAGGTTAGAATCTATCACTATTTGATTTCTCTCATTTGTGTTTTATTGATCTGAGGGCAAAGAGCAGTCAAAGGTCACATTCTCACAATAATGAATACAACTATTAATTTATGATAGTCCAATACTTTCTTTAAAAAAGCTCGAATTTCCCTGTGCTCTCAGTTTAAAAATGTATTACAATCACAACTGAACTTGTATTGCCAATGTTTAACCTGCAGATAAAGAACACATACAAATTCTCAGTTTATGGACATGCCTCATGTGAAAGCTCAGAACCTCCAGAATTCCCTCACTAAGCTGTAGAGGCCGCACTAGCACTGATTCATAACTGGCTATAGGTGCTGGGGTTTAGGTAGTGACCATTCAGATCAGAGAGAGGCATTTTAGGTTTTAATCGATTGGATTTCAACATAGAATTGTGTAAGGATAATTCTGCATTCTGATTGGATAATAATCTTGAAAAACAAAATAAATAACTTAGTCATCATGTCCAATATTTTGCACTTTTGTACTTCAGTGGTCATTCAATTTTCAATGATCCTTTAGTGCCTAATGCTGCAACTGTACTATGTAAAATGAGTCAGTTAACTTCATCGTAAACATTGTCATTTGTCAATTAGACTTTTTATTTGTCTCCGTCCAGATCTACGCAGCCCTGAACATCTTCTTTGGCATGGCGAGCATCGGCCTACTCACTGTGGTGGCCATTGACCGATACTTAACTATCTGCAGACCACATATAGGTATGGCCACACAATAATGTTATCAAGTACATATTGTGCCAGCCATTCTGTGTTATGTTTATGTTATTTCCCAGGTCAGAAAATGACCATGCGCTCGTATAACCTCCTGATCGCGGCTGCCTGGCTGAACGCAGTGTTCTGGTCGTCCATGCCTATCGTGGGCTGGGCTGGCTACGCTCCTGACCCCACCGGAGCTACATGCACCATCAACTGGAGAAACAATGATGCGTAAGTCTCCAGTCAGGAAGGAGGAGCACTTTTAAAAATGTTTAAACATGTTGTCAATTTGCATATTTTCTTTCACATTTTGTCACATATAGACAGAAATATTGTTTAAAGTGAGACTAAACACCTAAACTCCCACAACCACATTTCAAATAGAGCTGCTAAACTGGGCACTACCTGGAGAACTAAAGAAAAGAGTAGAAGGGTAGTAGTAGTAGTAGTAGGGAAGAAGAGGGGCGGGGTCTGGACATATATCCACACTTCAAACTCTGCCACTGTAATCAGAGGCTGTAATCCGAGCAGTCCTGTGTGATGTCACGTAGTACTTGAAATTCCAGTGGCCCGCAAATTAACCTAGTTTACAGTGAAATTGCCAAAGAATGACAGGGAACAGTTGACAATGACATGAAAATGCCACAGTTTAGTAGGACGTTTATTTAGTGTTTAGTTCCACTTAAATGTGTAAGTTATGCCATTATTTTCAGTCTCAACTCATTTCCCAAGAAGTTAAATTGCTCTTACTTTGAGCATCTATTTGTTATGCTGCTACTTTAACCTTCAACTTAAAATTATCCACTCCCTCATGTTGCCAGCAGAGGGTGCCAGATATTTAACCCACACTTTCAAAAGTAAAGTAAGCGATGTGAAATGCATGCCATGGATCCAGAAATATTACAGGAGTGACTGTACTTGTTTTCATAGCTCTTTCATCTCCTACACCATGGCAGTGATTGCGGTGAACTTTGTGGTGCCTCTTTCGGTCATGTTTTACTGCTACTACAATGTGTCTGTGACTGTCAAGAGGTACAAGGCTACAAACAGCCTGGACAGCGTCAATGTGGACTGGTCTGATCAGATGGATGTCACTAAGGTAGATCAAGATCAACATATAATATATCGCCTCATGTAGAAAGCATGTCCGGTCTTCACTCCTCTCCTGCAGATGTCCATAGTGATGATCATCATGTTCCTGGTGGCCTGGTCTCCTTACTCTATGGTGTGTCTGTGGGCTTCCTTTGGTGACCCTAAAACCATCCCAGCTCCCATGGCCATCATCGCTCCCCTGTTCGCCAAGTCCTCGACCTTCTACAACCCCTGTATCTATGTCATTGCCAACAAAAAGTGAGCTGGATTGGCGTGTGTTGCTGTTTAAATATTAGCCTTATGGTTAAATAATGGATTGTTTGTGCTCTTTCTGCAGGTTCAGACGAGCTATCATAGGGATGCTTCGGTGCCAGACCCGACAGAGAGTGACCATAAACACTCAGGTTCCCATGGCGATTTCCCAACAGCCGCTGACCCAGTAAACCCGTTGGGTGAATGAGTAGAGAAAGATTTGTAGAGTAGTAGATAGTAGAAGTGCATTATCTCCTTCTGACTTTATTTGAACAGTTCCTGTACTTGTCAGTGTACTTCTTATACTGTATGTGCTGTGGAATTTACTGTGTAAATCCCCGTGGCTGTGCCATGTGTTCAAGCACATAACATATATGATAAGATGCAGTACTTGTACTAGTGTGGGAATAAAATGTGAAAACACTTGTGTCATATTTGCAGCAGGGAGGATGCTTTACACAATCATTCTCTAGTCCATTAGTTCAGACAGATACACAGAGGTCACTTGAAGTGTCATTCACGTAATCCAAGTAAGGCTGCCATATTCTAACAAAGATGTCTCACAGCCTTTCTGAGTCTGTAAGTGATCTTTTCCAAAGGCTCACAGCTGTTCATTTCTGAGTATCCTCATATTATGCGTAGGGGGAAATCAGACTTCCATGTGACTGCAAAGCATTTTCTTGCCACTGCCAGTGATATTTCTAAAACTTTTATTTGGTGTTTATTTAATGGTTCTGTTTTCTCAAAATTTCCAAGTGGGCAAAATTTAGGATTCAGAGGTATCGAAATTTGTGTGGTTGTGGATAAGGCTTGGCAAAAATCCAACCAGAAACCTTTTACTTTCACACATGTCCAGGTGCAATGGAAGAAAGAGCCCAAATCTACAGAACATCGGAATCATAGATCAGAAAAATCTGGTTTTGTTTTATTTTTTCTGGAGTTAGATATAACTGATGAAGGAAATTATAGTGTGTAAGTCTGTATCGAGCATTGATGGTGTGTTTAGTTTTACTTTAATCTCTTCTTATCATTGCAGTTATTTTCATGTTGTGTGTATTTTTATTTGTAGCTCCAGCCCCAACATACACAAGACACAAGCCTGGGATTACAGTAATGTCATCATTTTAATTGTGTACTACACACAGTGGTCATCCGACATCAACTGTCTTTTGTATCATAATTCACAGAAAACAAAAAGTGCAACTTTTCACATAAATTACTTTACATTTAATATACATTACATTAAAAAGTGCCAAATAATGATTAAATCTTTCAGTCCTCAAATGTCATACAAAAAATAAAATAGACTTATATTTAATCTGATACATAATTTACTCATAACAATACAGAATCACAAGTACAACATAATATACAATACAAAGTAAATAAAATGGTGCAGATTATGAGTCCAGTGCCAGTTCAGTAAGTTGGGCCTATGCCGTGTTGTGACTATACCACATTGTTGTCCAGCCATAGTTTGATCTCGTCCTGGTTACGGCGCAGCCACTCGATGTTGTTCCGGACCGTCTCTAGGGCCTGTTTTCTGGGCATCTCCCCTGCCCCTGCGTTTGGTGTCATCTTGAAAAAGTGTTCCATCTGCAATACACAAAAACAATACAATATTTATTTGACTGGGAGCAGAGCACATGACTGTAATGCAGCCAAAACATTCTGAGTCTGACCTTCCACAGCTGCAAGTCTGTGTTGTACGAGGTGCTGATGTAGCCCAGGAGACGGCCCAAGTTCCTGTCATTGATGGTGTAACTGGGAGAAACAACAGTGTTTATATTATAAGTACAAATGCATCCAGACATAGCAAAGTTTAATTTCTTTGTGGTACATTTCCATATGTAAAAATACATGAACCTTGTCTACAGGAAATATTTTGTTACAGAAAAAATATTCCAGCCACAGGGTTTGTGTGTTTTTTGGAAAAGAATTTGCAACTTCTGGCAAGTGCATGTTGTGTTTCTCATTCCTTTTCGGCTTATTTTTAATGGAGCATGGGTTGCTATTTTTGGTATTTTTCTCTAAAGTGTGTAAGTGTGTAAAGTGTACTTTTTTGAATATCTGGCAACCCTGCTCTACAATTAACATGTTAGCAGTTAACACAGTGTTTCCCAAACTTTTTTCTAGGGACGCATATTTTAAAAGACCCAAGTCAATAGACACTATTCATAAATCACTAAATAAAGGTGGATTGACCATTAATGATCATGTCTCTCTGAACAATTAGTATTACTCAAGTTTTAAACAATGAAAAACAGTCACTGAACCAGCAATAAAAGGATCAATAAGTCGCCTATTTGGACATTAAATTTAGCCCATTTCTTTTTTCTTTTCAAAATTCAATTGAAGCAGCAATATTGGAACAAAATAGTCAATAAAATAATTCCAAAAAGATTAGAAATGACACAAAACATGTCTTAACATTTCAACATTTTTAATAAGATAGGTGGGCCTGTCTGCATTTTTGTAGCGCATTCAGAACAGGTGCAGCTTTCAGTCTGTTTCTGTGCTTTGTCTTCATTTTTGTAAGCACAGAAAATCCCAATTCACACATGTATGTAGTAGTGAAAGTAATACACATAGAAATACTGGCCCTACTTAGGACTGGATATTCACTTGCTCTCTCATGTGTCAGAAATGTAAATCGCAGACCTACATGCAGATTGTGACGAAGCGACCCTAAAAAAAAAATCTCTTGCGACCCAGTCTTAGGGAAACAATGAGTTAGTGTGAGTGTGCAGACTGACCGGTCGACCAGGTAGTCCCAGTTGAGAGTGGTCCAGTCCCAGGCCATGCTCTGTCCCAGGGGGTTGTAGGACACGTAGCGCACCAAAGTGAACAGGTCCTGACTGCGCACCACGCTCTCGTCTTTAGAGGCCTCCAGCAGCCTGCAATGCAAACGAAGAACACACTGTCATTCTGTTATCCTGTTATGTCTTCAAAGTGAATCGTGTAAAATTTTAAGTTGCATTGAGTAACTTCTGGTGGAGGTTCCATCAGATGCTTTTCTCCCTGGAGATGTTATTGCTTTATCTGGAATGTTTCACAGTATGGCCAAACCAGACCAGACCAAGTTACAGGTCAGATCTGTGGAGAGGCGACCTCACTCACAGTCAGAATTGTATTTTTGAACTATAAAACCATCTGTAATTTAATAAATGTAAGGTAGAGCTGATTAATGCCATACTGTGGAACATTCCAACCAGAGCAGTGACTTTTCCATAGAAACAAGCAGGTGACATAGTTACACAGCGCACCTTTAAATGTCTTAAGCTCCATGACAATAATTGAAAGGTTTTAAGTAAGGATGGACAACAAACTGGTGTGAATATTAGGGATGTAACAATAACTGAAATATCGTGATATCGTATCGTCAAAGTTCTCACAATAATATCGTGGACCATCACAATATATTGAATTACAACCTCCACAAAATATCGCAATAAATATCATTCCGTGAGATGTATATCATGAAAAAATCGTACAGAGAGATTAGGATATTGTTACATCCCTAATCATGAGCCTCCCTCCCCATATTGTGAACTTTCACAAGATATTGCAATGAATATCGTACCATCAGCTTCATACCGTGATATTGTATCGTGAGACTTGGATATCATTACACCCTTAGTGAATATAGATATTAAAGTTCGATGTGCAGCTTTGATTAATTTATCAGTATAAAAAATGCAGGGGAGGAACTTAATAAATGTAATTTCGTAGATTTTTGGGGTGATTGTAGTTTTTTGAGTAGATTTTTAAATATGTATTAGTCTTGTAATCAAGTATAATTCTAGCCATGTAATTGTAATTAGTTATATTTTAAATCATAGAGGTTACTGAGTACTGTGTAGTACCGAGTCTCACTTGCTCAAGAGACAGCTGGCTCCTTTCTATACCTATACCCTTCTATTTTACACTTTTTGATTGATCAAATTTAGTTTTAACTTGTGATCTAAAATGTTAAAATGCTAAAATTGCTTTAACTATTATCTAGTGCTCTAAGAAGTATTTTTCATGCATACTTTTAACTTACCTAAGTACAATTTTGGCAGCAGTACTTGTGTTTGTAGTTGAGTACATCATTAGCCATGTAACTACACTTTTACTTGAGTACACATTTTTTACTCTATTCTTTCTACTGAAAAATTTTACTAATACCACCAATATTTTCAAAGCTGCTTTAGCGTGTCACTCCCAGTTCATCCTCAGTGCAGCAGATGTGTCTTTAAAACTCATAAATTACAATGAAAAACATGTGTGTACATAATCATCAGAAGAAATACAACAAATTACATGATGACAGATTTTAAAATATGAACATCACTATGAGCAAATACCTGTTACTGACCACACAAGACAGACAAATACTGTATATCAGGAGGTCAGGCTTACATTACCTGTAGAGAAGATTGACATCCTCCACAGAGGCCAGTCCATACAGAAGTTTGTCTTTCTCCTGGGCCAGTGTGGAGGTGGTGTATCTCTGGAACATTGTCTCCCACTTTGCAGCAGTCCCAGATCTCTTCATGCCGTAACGATAGACGAGCAGCCGGAGGTTCACAGCCACGCTACTGCAAGGCAAATGTAAATCAAAATGTTAGGTTTTACGTCTGAATTTCCTTCAGGATCAACAATCTATTAATCAATCTATCAAACTTAAGAAAATTAAGACTTAACTGAGACTAAACTGGACCAAACCAGTGATTTTAAACTGTGATAAGCTTGTGTATTACTTGTACTTCCTCTGCAGTTCAAATATTTGTTGAATTTAGAGTCTATTTATCCATATATCTTTTGTGTCCCTCTTTGGGTTTACATGGAAATTGTATAATCCTACTTTAGAACAGTCCTGCTTAGACCAGAAATAGGTCAAATAGGTCAAATATTTTCATAGGTGGTACTTGGTGTGAAGAATTAAACAAGCACTGGACTAGGCTATGACTAAACCAGAACTGGAAAAGAACCAAACCAAGTCTACACCAAGCTAGGCCAGGACTAAAACCAGGACAAGTGTGACGACAGCCTTACAGAGTAGATTTAGTTTAAAGTAAATGGTGGTTTGATAAGCAGTTCCTCACATGTCTGTGTGGTATTTGACTATAAATCTTCAAGAGACCATAACTTGGGTCTCAGTTACTACTAAGAAATATAATTATTATGATACATTATGATTAGAGTCATCGCAACTTTTAATTTTTTGGACTATAACTCACACTTTTTCATAGTTTGGGTGGACTTGCAACCTATACTCCAGTGTGACTTATATGTTAAAATGTTCACAGTGACAGCCATGAGAGGCTCTAGGCTTGTGTGCTCCTGTACCACTGTCACTTCACACTCTACTGCGCATGTCGGCTGCAGAAGAAAGAGAAAGAGCCACGGTCCTGTCTGGTATCATGTCAGTCGATCGCACCATTACTTCTGTAACACTGACAATTTAGAATTGAAACAAACATAAAGACAATTGTAACCATCCTGTCAGGATTCAGAAAGGCTGGAATAATTCTATCTAGAGCTGATGCCGAGTTTGATGACAGCTACGCAGAAGTTTACCTCTGGAGGTCACGGAGTTGCTCAGAAGTGACACAGCGGATGAAGAATTCAATGGATTTAGTGATTTGGAGTGAGATGGAGAGTTTGGTAAACTTGTTCTGTTCTGTTGATTATGCTATAGTTATCTGAAGAACTGTTCATATGTGACGTTAACAGTCTGAAATCTCGGTTCCTGGTCTCTGATTTTATAAAATAAATTTCCCCCAAAAAGTGCGACTTATACGTTTTTTCTTCTTCATTAAAGATTTTTTGGCTAGTGTGACTTATACTACGGAATGACTTATAATCCGAAAAATATGGTAGATGGATTTTAAGGCCTTATTAAAGAAAATAGTTAATTCTGGTTACATTTCATTGTGATGGATTGTCTACTACACTCGTTTATCTTACCTGAGTTATGCTTTTTGTAACAAATGCAAATGTATGTGTATGAATACCTCAGTGTCCCATCGATCCACTGGTCAAACAGGCGAGAGGCTTCGTTCAGCGCCGCATCGTCTCCCATCCCACAGGCGATGCCCAGGACCGTCTCCCGTAGCAACCTGACCACAGACGGTACATACGTCACCATGGAGACAGAGTGACAGCAGTGGACTCCACAATCTCCACACACGGTACCTGGTTTTCTGGTCTCCCACATCCTCCCAGCCCAGTTTAGTAGCGATGGCTGTGACGTGATTTCGGAAGAGTTTCTGCAACAAAAATACAGCACAACTTTCAACTGTCCTATATTACACAAAATGGATCCTGGTGAGATTTAAGGCATGTTGTAACAGGTGTGGGCAATTATTTTTTTCATGGGGTCACATGAGAAACAGAAAATATTGTTAAGGCCAAAGTGCTTAACTCAATTCTGTATAATTATAATTGTATTTCTTTATAAAAAGCAGTAAATAGTAGGGGTGTGCAAAAACACTGATATATCGTATCGTTTAATGTGATGATACAGTATTGATATCGTGGCATATTTTTTGGCATATTTTATTAAATTATTTTGTTACAGCGCTACAGTTTTGTTGTTTGTTTACAGGAAAGAAATGTAACACATTTGACAATTTTGTAACACATTTACTAATTTTGATTAGTAAAAATGTGTGGTTCTCATATGAACTTTGCACAAGTGGTTTAAAAAGACTTTCAGTATCACAGCCATGATTTAGCCTTTATTTTTTATTGAACCGTATCAAATCGAAAGTGCACTTTATGTATTGTATCGTGGCCTATGTATTGAGGTATGTATCAGCAACTTCTTAATGATACCCAGTCCTAGTAAAAATCATTGTGAGGTTGCCTTACAAAAAATGTCATTAAATAAAAACACCTCGAATGTAAACACAATGCAGATTTAGTCCATGCATGAGGTAAAATGATAAAATATGTTTATTTTGTAATTTCAAATGATCTTAAACAGGCAGATCAGAGTTAACCAAAGGGTCGTATGTGGCTCAGGAGCTCTTCAATGACCAGGCCTGTGTTATAATGTTGTTACGTCATTAAAAACATACCCAGAGTTTTGTTTCATTCACATATGTTTGAGTAATCCTTTATTATTATTATTATTATTATTATTATTCTGTCTGCATCTTCAAAAACCAAAATGCTCTGTTCCACCTTCTGATGTCACATTGTTGTGGTAGTTTTCAAGTTAACATCTACCTTTAGTTCAGTAGAGATTGGCAATCCAGACCTGAAATTACCCTAATGATTCTAGTGAAAGTGTATGGAGTGTAAAAACACAGTGGAGCACTTCCTGTATTACCACGTGACATCACAAGATGGAAGAGATCACAGCCTAGAAATGCAGGGTCTGTGTGTTAAACATGTGAAACAAAACAAAAGTCCATGTACGTTTTTGATGAGGAATAAACATTACAACAAATAAAAAAAGCATAATATAGGCATATAATAAAAGCAAGCCAATAAAATAAACAGCCTACATTTGAAAAAGCTAATCACATGATCTCGGTAAGCTTATCGGACCAGAGTCATAAAGTAAATATGAACATTGAGAAATTCAACTATGTAAAAGGAATAACTTGAAAATGTTTGTACCTGAAACTTAGGATAGAGTGCATCATTATTTGACAGCATTTCCCGGACATAAGAGATAGAAGTGGCCACAGTCTTCCACACAATGTACTCCGTCTCATTGGTCAGATACTGGGTAAGGTTAAAGGCATTTCCGTAGTCTATGATGTCTCCCCTTCAGAACACAACCGCATAAAAAAGAAAAAAAACAGAAATTCAAGTGAAGTTATATGTAAAAACGATTAAACATACCTGCAAAAACAATTTACAATATTGATAAATTTAAAAGTATTTGAATTTGAAAACGGCTAACCTTGCAAGAGCAAAGACGTCATCGATAAAACTGGTTCTGTCAGCTGCATCAAATTCCTGTAGAAGCATAAAAAATGTATAACAAAGAAACAAAGGTTACACTATGTCTCTTTTCTTGTGGAGGGCCTACCACCTGTCTGTCTCCATGAAGGTGTTATCGTCTCCCTGCAATAGTCCAATGAAGTTAATTTGGTCTTCCGTGTTGTTTTCATACCTAACACTTTCGTCAGAGTAGTCACGTGATGTTGCTGTGACGTGTCTGCTCAGCTGATTTAAACAGGATTTGGCGCTGTCTTCCTATCAGTGGAGGCAGGACAACAGCGCCACCTGCATTCCGATTTCCTCAGGACAGTATCCCAGGTGTGTGAGAGTAGAAAAGCACCCCTCATCCCGGTTTATAGTCCTATGGGCCTGTTTCTGTTATCCGATTGCCTCTTTAATCCAGCGACGGTGTTCGTTTTCCTCTGTCCCGATGATGTTTGCTCCGTCCCAGTCCATAATGTGTTTCTCTCTTTTACAGTGGTCAGCGAAGGCCGATTTGGGTTGTTCCTGTACTGCTCGTGTTTCGCTTTCCCCATTTTCTTCTCGCATTCTGTTCTGTGTTCCTTTTTTCATGTACTGAACGCCCTCCCTGTTTCTCCAATGTATGTTTTATTGTAGGACATGGAGGGTATTTCGTATATGACATTACGTTCATGCTCCGGTTCTATTTTGTTCCACAGCATGGCATTAAACTTATTTATTTAGCAGCATTTATTGAATTCTGGGTGTTTTTATTGCTCAAAAATAGCTTGAAAAACAGTCACCTGCTTCCCATGGAGATCGATAAGTTCACTATATTGTCAAACACGTGAAAGACCCTCCATCAGAAAAGTTACGCAGAGTGACATTTATGATGTAAAATAGCATCAATATGTATTTTGTTCTGGAGCAGTGACATTATGTGTAAAATGTATGTAAAATGTATGCTTGTTATATTACTCAGTTATCAGGGCATTCATTTTTAAACTAAGCCCATCTTACTGTATGATCTGAGAGGAGCTGCTGGCTGATGGAGGTCCACACGTGCTCGTCGTGGTTCACTCTGTAGAAGCCAATGTGGTCGTTGTTCACCTTCAACAGCCCATCCACCGCAGAGGAGTACGGAGGCACCACGAGCTCTGAAAGATAACACGACATTTAAAGGTGCACTGTGTAACTTGTAAGTTGTTGAGGGTCTGTCAAATGCTTGTCGCCATAGGGATGTTATTGCTTTGTCTGGAATGTTTCACAGTACAGATAAAGGCTACGTTTATATGATGACGGTCTGAACAGAAGACGCAAAAGTGGTGCCGTGTCTTCACTTTTTATTCCGCGTTTAGACGAGCGTTTTCATGAGGAAATCTGCGAGCATACAGTGATGCAAATGTGTGTGGAATTTGATTGGGTATGCAAGCCATCCGTTTCGTTTGTTTCGTGACCTGAGCAGATCTGACTAGAGTTTTGTGTCTTGGGCAGTGTAGACAGAAACCCTACAGTGGAGCGTATTCAACTTTTCCACTCTGGAGGGTGGTTTCAAATATTTGCATTTTTACAGCTTCAAAAAAGCCGTCTCCATCTAAACAAAAGGCACTTCCAATAAAATCTGTCGTAAGCTTTCTTGTTCAAACAGGCCCTAAACCTTTCTGTCTTCACATAGACCAAACAAGACCACGTTACAGGTCAGATCTGTGGAGTCAGACAGAATACCTGTTTTTCTAGGTATTTTTGAACTATAAAACCACCTGTAATTGAATAAACGTAAAGTAGAACTGTTTAATGTCCTACTGTGGACAAGCAGGTGACAGACCCCTAACCAACAAGTTACATGGTGCACCTTTAAACGTATTCACAATGTCACTATTAACATTTGCAACTTGAATGAGATCCCTCACTAAACGATGCAAAACATGTTCCATTACGTAACAGTAAATATAGTACCTGATTCTGTCTTGTTAAACATTGCCATGAAGTCCCTGTTGCTCTTTATAGCATGGAATTCCACAGGCATTGTCCACTTATACCTGCAAATAAAAAGATACATCAAAATCAGTGTCCTGTAAATTTGTACTCAAGTAAAAGTACTTACATGGCTAAACAGTTGTACTAAGTAAAATAAAAATACGCTGAAATGTAAAAAACTAACTAAAAAGTAAAGTTACTTAGGGCTGGGGGATTTTTTTTCCCTGAAAACAACAGAAATCCTAACAAATTAAACACAATTAAGTACTTTTAAATCACAATCTACATATTCTCAGCGCTCTTGTCAATCAGTCTGATCAATGTGAGTAAACAGAAGAGCAGAGACAACAGTGAGAGAATGAATTTGGCTGATTTGGATAATTTTAAATGTAACTAATAAAAATTAAACTAAAATGTTGCTCAATCACAAATACAGGTTTAAAAACACAATAACAATCTACTTAATTAAAGGACCTCAAGTATTTTAATGAGTTACTTTACACCCCTGATAAAACTACAAACTAATTATTAGGTTAATTTAAGGTACTGTGGTTCTTTCTACCCTAGAGGAGTGGGGGGTTGGCTGATGTCCGCGTTGGGGTCCAGGAGGAAGCGTTTCTGGGTAAGTTTGGCCGCTGTCTCGGTGACAGACAGCATCACGACTGGGTATCCCATCTGCTGAGTCCAAGTGTCCATCACCTCCGCAACGGGAAGACCGCTCGCCTGAGAATGTGATTTTGAATGTTTAGACTGGAGATGAGACTAAAGAGGGGATATTACGCTTCTAAGGGGTATTAACTACTACCACAAAACATATTTAGATCACCATGTTGCATTTTATTGTGTTGCTCAGCGTGCATCCCGCTAATGAAACTACTGCACATCACCTTAGCTTTGTGAAGTGAAGTAGTATATCGTTTTGTATCATGCTTTTGTGTATTTATGAAGATTTGCTGTGTTGAAACGTGGATGACGTAGGCTTGTGAGCTGAGCATTGGACAGAATCTTACAGCTAAGCATCAGAAGGGTATGAATAGGGCCCTGGAGAGATCCCTAGATTACTCGAACATGCACGGATGACATCTAAAACCTCTTCAGGCATGGTTTTGATGAGGAAACAACACTGAAACATGATAGAAAGCATAATATCTAATTTTTAGTTAAAAAATAAGTTTCAAATTGCAGTAGTCCCTGAATAAAGTGTATAATGTCAGCAATATTAAGGATTTGCGTGTGACGTGGCAGTCAGGTGACTTAATGTTTTGGCAGCCATACTGGAGGTCAAGGTTAGGTTTAGTTACTACAAAATAATCATTGCTATTTTAAAGAGCGCAAACAACATAAAACTGTCCGACATTGCCAGCTTGTTAGATCAGCCATCATTAGAAAGATATAATGCTGAAGTCATCCTCCTGGGTTGTGGAATAGATCCGTAATTCTGGCGCTTGCTCTGTACCCAACCTCCAATATCCAGATATTTATAACTACTTAATTAATTCTACATCGTCCTACACCAACCAAAGAAGTGAAAAGTTACAAGGGGTTAGAGGCTATAAATATTTTGCAGCGGGATGCGTGAGATCTTTGTTGATCACCAAGATATCACATCTGTTCCTGATAACAGCCAGGGTAAGTAGAATGGAGGTCAAAATCAGAACCGTAGCTACCCCAGGCAGTGGAAATTGAGGGAGAGATTCCATGCCAGCAAAAGTGAGGACAACATAGCGCGTCCTTCTTATTTTATCGCACACAAATACTACGCATTGGTCGAGAAAGATAGTTTGACCTCTAGAATGGCGACATAAACAACAGGTCACGTGCTTTTGTGATGCAGACGCAAAACCTTAATACAAAAGACCCTGTGAAACTTCTTAAACACAAATCAATTGGGGGTTTTGTTCTCACTATGTAATATAGATCCTTTCACACGGATTAATACAGTGTTATGCTAAAATGGCAAATTGTATATTATTATAAATGTAACAATACCTTTGCAAGTGACGCCCAGAAGTTTGCAGTTTTGGCATTTGTGAAATAGTAATCCTTCAAGTATTGCTGATGGGAGAAATATTTTAGAAATATATATAGAAATAAAGACTCAACTTATTTTGTGTACTGTTAGTTAACTTACCCGACAACCATCTCTAAACATGTTTTTGCCCATCCAGTCCTCCAGCATTCGCAGCACTGAAGCACCCTGGGGAGGAAAAAAAAAATTGTTAATAGCTACCTTTTACCTTTTGGTTAGTAGAGATTGGAAAATCCAGGGCTGAAATTATCCAAATTATTTTAATGAAGGTGTATGGATCGTTTTCAGTTTGTGAGAAAAACTCAGCTGAAATATGCATGTGAATGAAAGAAAATAAAATGAAATAAATGAAAACAAAACTCCAGGTATGTTTTGGATGGATATAACAGATAAAAAACAGAGCAATATGGGCCATTTAATCATACAATTGTGTTCAAACCATCAGTCTGCATTAGTACCTTGCTGTATGAAATGGCGTCGAAGACAGAAGTGATCTCGGCCGGAGTAGAAACGTCCACGATTATGGGGTGAGAGGAGAGCAGGGCATCGTCCTCCATCACGGGCAAGACATCACTGATGATCATGATGTCTCGCTGTATAATGAAAAACCCAAAGTTTCAAGAGGGCAGTGTATGTTTGTGTGTCTTTTTCCATGAAAATACTTTATATATTTAGGGTAGATTTTTTGTATTATTTTGATCAACATAAAAACTATAGCTGAGATAATATGTAATTTCTGAGTTTTAAAGACTTCATGGTCCCTAGACCCAACTAACTCTATTTGGTTTCTGTGGAGATTTTTAGAGTACTGAAAACAATAAAAAATAATATATAAATAATATAAAATTGACTCTTATGAGGTTTAAGGCAAATCTCAAAATGCTCAGTTCCACCTTGTGATGTTATCCAGATGACTCTAGTAAAGGTGTTTGAAGTTTAAAAACACAGTGGAGCACTTTCTGTATTGCCACATGACATCACAAGGTGGAACAGAGGGTTTTCACAAGGTGGAACAGAGGGTTTTCTGTTTGAGAGCTCAAGAACTCAGCCTAAATATGCAGGTTTGTGTGTTAAACATGTGTGAATGAAACAAAACTGTGTATGTTTTGGATGAAAAAAACAACATCATAACATAGAACAGAAAATAGTGTAATTTAAGTAAAAATATTAATATGTCTCAGGGGCTTGATAAATGACAGAAGGGCAGTGACTCACCATTCCCCAGGTGGGCTCAGCCTGCTCCACGCCCACATACTCAAAGAAGCTGGCGAAGCCCTCGTTCAGCCACAGGTCGTCCCACCAGTCCATGGTCACTATGTTTCCGAACCACTGGGGAATAAACAGGCACAGTGTCAGTCTATCCAACTGTACTTATTAATACTCATAAACTATATCATTATAGTCTAGTTGGTGTGTAATAATTGCACCCATTCCAAGAACTGGAATTTTGTTTTCATTATTATGTCTGAACACTTACATTATATGCACATTGATATTTTGTGTTCGCAAACGCACGAGAATCCATCTTAGCATGTGCTCACTGTACAGGTGATTGGGTGGGCTTGACCAATCACGGTGCAGCATTGAGGTTTGTGTAGAAGCAAAAGTGCCCAAACAAACCAAAACATAGTGACACAGACAGATGTACTTCATATTCTTTGTGAAAAACATGCAGAAGGAAGAGCTTTGTGCATTTGTGAACAGGGTGTGTGTGTTTTTCTCTCAACGGGATGTAACAAAAGTTAGATTTTTTGGCTTGCTCAGCTGTTGTAATGCTTTGACCAATTAGATTAGAATAATTGTCATGACATTCTGCTTTTTCTGAATGCTTTCAGAGAGGGCTATTCCAGATTCATAATGTGTAGATCTCAATTCAGAGTCATACTCAACCACCACTAATCACACACTCAAGCTTATACATTCAAACAAACATGGAGGGTGAAGTGCCTTGCCCAAGAACACAATGATACACCAGAATACTGTTAAATGCTTTTAACAGTATTAACATTTAACAGCATACTGTTTCACATTATCAGACAATGTAGACTTGATGTCACATTGTAATAAATGTACCTGACTGATATGAGCTGTAGACATACATGAACATATTCAACAACAAAGGTGCACGGACGTAGCCACTGTGCTTTCTAAGAATCTATGTTCACCCTAAAGGTCGCATTTCTGGTGGAGGGTCCAACATCTGTTTATCTGCATGGAAATGTTATTGCTTTTCCTGGAATGTGCCAAAGTATTAAACTTTTCTATCTCCATGTATCATCCATCTATCTAACAGTAAGAATGTGTGTTTTGTGTGATTTTTTTGTGCATAAAAATAACTTAAACTGTTTCTTAAATGTCATCTCTTTGAATGACCAATCACAGCAGACTGTCCCTCCAGAGCCTACTACCACTAACCACCCTTTTGACCTTTATAGAGCACTGACACTAAATAAACCACTCACTTGTCTTGTGTAGTCATTCCTAATCGTGTTTAAAATCAGTTTCCTTGTTATAAGGTTATCTCAAGGCCCCACGCAGTAACTCACTAGCTTTTTACTGCAGCCCTGTTATCCATTTGGCTTTGAAAAGGTCCATAAACATTTAATGGACTGTCTCCTGGCTTCACATCTGTTCGTATCTGACAAAGAGCCATATCAGAGCATAAAGTTAACACACTCCCATGACTCTTAGACTCTGGACTTCGTAAGCTTTCTTGTAAATTTGAAGGTAATTTGACAGTAGTTGACTGGTAATCAACTTTTTATGCAGTGATTGTACAATATAAGTGGTTGTTTAGTTGTTTTAAAAATAAAATAGTTATAGTTAAATCCAAGTACAAGAAAAAATATGAATTTACTGCACAGGACAAGTGCCTTTATGTATTTTTTATGGTACTGAACACTGAGCTTTTCTACTCCTCCTACTCCTCCTAATACTCCTACTACTGCTACTCCTACTGCTACTTCTACTACTCCTACTCCTACTGCTACTCCTACTAGTACTTCTCCTACTCCTGCTACTCCTACTCCTCCTACTTCTTCTACTCCTACTAGTACTACTCCTACTCCTCCTACTAGTACTCTTACTCCTCCTACTCCTCCTAATACTCCTACTTCTCATACTACTACTCCTACTCCTCATAGTACTACTCCTACTGTTTGTACTACTCCTACTGTTCATACTACTCCTACTCCTCCTACTACTCCTCCTATTACTCTTACTATTCCTCCTACTCCTACTACTACTACTCCTACTACTCCTACTACTCCTGCTACTCCTACTAGTACTACTCCTACTCCTCCTACTAGTACTATTACTCCTCCTATTCCTCCTACTCCTCCTCCTACTACTCCTACCTTTTCCTACTTCTACTTCCACTCCTACTACTTATACTCCTACTACAACTTCTACTTACAACTCCTCCTACCATTCCTACTTTCTCCTCCTCCTACTAATACTTCCACTCCTACAACTTGTACATCTTCTACTCTAACTCCTACAACTTCTACTTCTACTCAGACTATTCCAGTATTGAGCACTGAGCTTTTCCCTTAGTATAAACAGTATGACATGATAGTTTGTTGACAAGAGTGTACACTGAGGGCTGGGTTTGTGTGTGTTACCTGATGCACCAGTTCATGGGCGATGACACTGGCCACTCTCTGCTTGTTGGTGGAGGACGACTCTTTCTCATCGTACAGCAGGTTGGTCTCTCTGTAGGTGATAAGGCCCCAGTTCTCCATGGCCCCAGTGCCAAAGTCAGGAATGGCTATCTTATCTGCATTGAAAGAACAGCAATGAATCAAACTTATAAATATATGATTGGTTATGGATTTCTGATAGGATTAGTATTGTCAAGATACTAAAATTCAATAATCAGTACCTCTTTCTTTAGACAATAGAATGATGTTCAGCATTAAATCACAGTACTTTCTTTTATTTTTCCCATGCAGTCTTGTTCTAGTTCTGACGCAGGCCAAGTAGACTCTAACATACGTTTTCAATAAAAATAAATTAATGTCTTGTATTGTTAGAAAGAGGATTGTTACAATGAGGTGTTAAAATTTGGTGGGTCACTACATTTTAGTTTATTTCTTTTGGACTGTCAAAACTGTCATTGTCTGATTATTGTTACTGAAATATCACCCATTACTAATGCCTAAACAAATTAAAACCAGAAATGTCAATGCAAAAACATTTTTAAAAATCCAAATCAAATCATAATATGATCCCTGTGAAGAGGGAATCCCTTTACCAAGTTTTGAGATGCTGTAGTTCATGTTGAAGTATTCCTCAAAGTAATCAAAGATGATCTTGGTAGTATCAGCAGCGTACACTGCGGTGTGCAGCTGAGAAGGCTGGGCCCAGATCTTTAACTGTACAGGATGGAAAGCAAACATTTATAGGTTTAAGTTTCATGTGTAAATACTGAAATCGTTTTAGCTGTGTAGTGAACTGACAGGTATTCCTCTAGCAGAAATCCTCTGCACAGACTCAAACTGGTGCACAGCGAAGCAGACCAGATAGGTGCTCATGGGGACCGACTTGATGAAGGAGGTCTTCAGCTTGTCTCCAGGTAAGACCTCTGATTCGCCCTGCAGCACACAGAAGTCACTGTCAGGAAGCACATTATCACACTTCCTCTGCTTTGAAGTTGAAGTAGATGATAACTTTTTTATGGTAGAAGTACAGAAGTACATGCATTTCAAGAGGAATTAGCAAAACACACTTATTATGTGAGACATCTAAGCTGTTCTTATCTGTCTGGTAAACCTTTAACTACAAAAACTGATTAATGACTGTATACTACAAAGTGTAGTTTGCAAGGAGGAGCAAGCACAACTACTACAACTACTACTTACTCTTACCTCTAACTATTCCTACTACTACACCCTGTATCTCAGTGATTAGAGCATTGACCACCAAATTGAAGGTCAGAGGTTCGATTCTTGCCTTGACCAAATTCTGTCGTTCACCCACCTTGCCTAGTATGAATGTGGCGTGTCTGTGAATGCCCCAGGGCAGCTGCGGCTACAATAGTAATTGACCACCACTGAGTTAAGCACATTACAAGAGTAAGGCATTATTACTATTACTCCAACTACCACTCCTCTTACTCCTACCACTCCTTCCACATGTAGCAGCGTACCTCCTGGGGCATGTTGGCCAGAGCCTTGTAGGCCTTGTCATGGGTGATGGACACTGTGTATGTGGCCTTCTTGTTGGGCTCGTCAAAGCAGGGGAAGGACTTGCGGGCGTCGGTGGGCTCGTGATCGGTGGCTGCGATCTTTCTGTGGATGAGAAGGATGATTTATGACACGTTTTACAGCCGGGGCAAAGTCACACAGGCTATTGTTGCCGAGAATCACATGGCGTAAGGTCACCCAGACCAACCCAACGGAACATCTAATGTGAGATGTCAGTGACTCTAGATGTCATATAATAAATCACATTTTATTGTAGTGCTCTACGTTTTGATTTAAAGCCATGCTGTGGAACATTTTAGACCTCAACTAGATGTGGTAAAGCACAGATACATAAATCTAGTAGTGATACAGAACACTCTTCAAATATTAACTACACACTCATTTTTTAAAGTGGATAATCAAAATGAGATGTAAATAAATGCTTATGTTTACTGAAATATCTACAGAATACAAACCATGATACAAATCAGGTCAGGTCTGTGGAGAGGCAAGCTCACTCACAGTAAGAACAACTTTTTTCAGAAATAAACCAATAAATCAATGGTATATTATACATATTATATATATAAAAAGTTGACTGCACTCAACTGAAAATACAATTGTAAAGTATCTAGGCAAATTAATTCCTGTTTTGAACTAATCTTAGAGATAATCTAAGAGTACCACTACAATATTTCATATAAAAGGCCAAACTCATGACTTTGAATAAATGCTGTACTGGCTAATGCACTATACGTACAGAAAAAATAAATAAAGAAAAAACATACATTGGTTCTCTTCTGATAATGGTACAATGTGTTAGAGCCATACACACTTTAAATATCAATACATTATTTCAGCAATTTTTCATCCTTTTTAATATACTACATAACATACTGTCTTGGTTTTGTTTGTACAGTTATTCATATGGTCAATCAGTGTACAAAAGTTACCTATTATGTGAGATTATGAAACAGTGACATAAGCAGTTTTTACACATATAAAATGACATGGCTATATGAATGCCTGTGAGTACAAGGTTCTGATTGGACGGTCGTAATGCTGTGGTAAGAATAAGTGTCTGTTATTATGTCGGTGGTACAAACTCTACATTTAAAATCATCACCATACTGTATATCATTTAGGTCAGCTGCTTCATGACTCATCAAAGTTTTGAACATTTTGTCACCTGAGATCATGATGATTTTGTAGCTGTGTCTTTATCTTTAGAGAAACAATAAGTGATAAGATTGTGATGGTTATTATAGTTTATCTTTAGCCTGTGATAAAAGAAATATCTATATTAGTCATGTCTACAATGGCTTGTTTAGAGGCTCTAGATTTAAGACATTTCAAGCTAAATCAACCAGTGAGATAAGAATTATATTTGAAGTGCGTAATCAAAAATGGAAAGTGTATTTGAAATAGTATATGTTTAAAGAATTTGTAAATTGTAAAAAAATTTTTTTTAAAAAGCATTAAAACCGGAAAGCATGGCCTCATAACAAGTCAAATAATCTATAGCAAATATGTAAATAAGTCTAGACAGGCAAAAACTAAAAAAAAAAAAAAAAAAAAAAAAAAAAAAAAAGGTGGGCATTTTAAATAAAGCTTCAACCAGCTAGTTTTGTTGTTGAAACCCATGAGCAAGACACTTTACCAACCTATGATTTGAAACCTATTGACTGACAAACATATTTATTTGTAGTAGTTTTATGAGCTAATTAAACTAGAAAAAAAAGTGTTTGTCTCTTTGTTTTTAACATAGTGTGAGTTATGTGGTCATCTATGTCTTCTTTTTTTTTATATAATTTTTTATTGTTTTTATTTATTTTTTGATGGTATTGTTGGTATTGGTATTTTAATTGTTTCATATATTTAGTCAAATTTTTGTCTTTAATTATTATTTATGTATTGTAATGCTTATTTGATTACTGTTTTGTTTTTTTAGTTTTTTTAAAGGTACACTATGTAACTTTCTGGCACATCACCAGCATAACTGCATAGAAATACAAAGTACAAAGTTAAAACTATACTTCGGAACATTCTCCATGGAGACTAATAAGTTTTATGCCATACTGTGGAAGATTTTAGCCAAGAGACAACATTTCCATGGAAACAAGCAGGTGAAGGCCAAATAAGAGTCAGGTTTGTGGAGATGCAAGCTTGCTCTCGATAAGAACACTAAGTGGATATGGATTATATAACTATCTAAATATGATAAATAAATGTGCTACATTTCAAACGTTTGGACACATCCTTTCATTGAATGTTTTTTTCTTTATTTTCACTATTTTCTCCATTTTATATACATACAGAATAGCGGTGTGCAAAAATACTGAAATATCGATATATCGTATTGTTTAATGTGATGATACTGTATCAATATTGTGAACTGCTGTATCGATGTATCGCCAAGAGTATTTTTTGCTATATTTTACAAAATACAGTGCTACAGTTTTGTTGTTTGTTTAGAAGAAGGAAACTCATTCATGCGACATATTTTACATTTTCACTGTTTTGATGATTAAAATGTTTGTGTTTCATATGAACTTTGCATAAGAAGTGGTTTAACAAAGATTTTAGTATCACAGCCATGATTTAGTCTTTATTTTTTATTGAACCATATCGAATCGATTTGAAATGTATCGTACTGAATAAAAAGCTCACTGTATTGAGGTATGTATTGTATCGACAACTTCTTAATGATACCCAGTGCTAATACAGAAGACATTTACCTTTTGCTACAAAATTGCAAATTTCCTACTTCATATATTTGATAAGTTTACTTCATATATTTAAAAAAATGTTTTATATTTAAATTCTCAGAGTAGCAACCCTTTTCTTTGTTGAGTTATGTTACTTTTTCTCTTTAGTACTATATATAATACAATATATCTTCTATATCTGTAGCTTCATACATTTGATGCCTGTAGTGATGAAGATGAGATGAAAGAGATGAAAGTAGTAAAAATAAAGACTAAAAAAACATGAGATGGCGTGTCCAAACTTTTACTTACTTGGTGACGCCTCCCTCGATGTACACCACCCTGTAGAACCCCACCACGGACCCGGTGAGCACCCCCTTGAAGTCCAGACTCAGTACGTAGTTCCCCGGGGCTAGGGTCGTCTCCGCCTCCACCACCACATACTCGTGCGTCTTGTACTCAAAACACCTGGTCACCCCCACACTCGCCCCATCCTCCTGGCTCGCCCCGGCCCTCAAACGGGGCAGCGCGCTCACGTATGTCTCCCTGATATGCAGCCACAAATGTTTGGTGGTCTGGGTCACCTCCACTTGAATGTCCACCGTTCCAGAGTAGGTATCATCAACCATATTTGGCTCCAGGTGCAAATCATAGTGAACTGGATTGACATAGTTAGGCAAGCGAAAGTTCTTCCAGTCTCCGGTGGAGTCTTCGGATGGCAGGCAGGGTCCCTTGGAAGGCTGAGGCGGCTGCGTGGAAGTCTGCGGCGGCTGCGTGGGAGGCTTCGTCGGCTGCGTGGGAGGCTTCCCCGTTGGGGGTAAAGTCGGAGGAGGAGAGGTCTCGCTGGAGGTCTTGGATAGTCCCACTGCAAGACCTACAACTAAGGAACAGACCGCCACTGTAGCACAGATGATGGCTACATGCTTGCCTTGAATACAGTAGCGCTTCTCCTGCTTTTCAAAATCCAAGCTGTTCATTATGGTGACCCCTGCTACCACCACAACTACAACTACTACTACTACTACTACTGTAAGTGCAAATGACAAACACAGAACAGTGGAGTAGACCAAAGGGGAGGGGGCAGAGGAGAGAGAAGGGAGGAGGACATTCAAGGATGTGTCAGATTGCACCAGTAACACCAACGCGTACATGCTAGTAAATCATCTGCTAGGAGTATGCACTGCAGAGTCAGCAGGTGTCCCGCTGTATTGCGTGAAACTAAGCATTTTTCAAGTCCCAAGCTGATACCAAGCACAAATTATCCATATATTTGGTCGCAAAGTCTGTCGAAATTCTTCACCGTCTGTTAGATTCCACTTGGATCTCATGCTGTTTTGGACAAAATCTTGGAAAGGCAAAAGTGGAAAGTCGGCGGAAACAACGAGTTCCCAGATAATAATACAACTATGCAGAAATATTTACACAGAGGTGGGTAGAGTATCAAAAAAATGTACTCAAGTAAGAGCAATGTTACTTCAAAATAGTATTAATCAAGCAGAAGTACGAAGTAGTGGTCCAAAAAATTTGTGAAGAGTAAAAAAGTGTTTGGAAAACTTCTATGAAGAGACTAACCGTCGGGATGTAACATCTGGTTTATAATTTGACGTTAATGTAATTTGAAGGACAAAACATTCAATAATGCACAAAGGCTGGTGCTTTCAAAGGTTAAGACACAAAAAATAGAAAAACAAAGTCATATCTGAAGGAACACTGAAAGAAACACAAATGTTCAAATCATTTCATATTGTCAACATAAATATTTTGTCATTTCCAGACTTACTCACAATGGGAAAAGAAACCAAAGCTTTTACTAAACTAAGAGTACTGTTACTTTAATTTTAAAAAATCAAGTAGGAGTAAAAGTATGCTGCTAGAAAAGTCCTCTACAAAATACAATTTCTAAAAAGTTACTCGAGTAAATGTAACTGAGTACTACAGCGTTCAGATTTGACAACAATCTGTGTATCATTTGTTCATCTGTTTTTCAAAATAAAACCAAAAATAAGAAAATAAAAAAAAAAACAACTATTTTCTTCATTATTTGTCTCCAAAAACCAAAATGAAAAATCAGATAATCAGATTAGTTTTTTCAGTTTTAGATTTTGTGTTTCCGTGACTAACTGCCATGTCGGACTTTTGCACCGCATACGGACTGAACCAGGACTGAACCAGGGCTAAAACAGGACTAAAACAGGTCCGGGACCAAACTGGAACCAGACCAGGACTGAGACCAGGACTGAGACCAGGACTGAGACCAGGACTGAGACCAGGACTGAGACCAAGACCAGACTGGAACTGAGACCAGGACTTAGACCAGGACCAGGACCAGACAAGAACTGAGACCAGGACTGAGGCTGGGACCAGACCAGGACCCGACCGGGACTGAGACCGGGACCAGGACCAGGACTAAGACCGGGACTGAGACCAGGACTGAGGCCGGGACCAGACCAGGACTGAGGCCGGGACCAGACCAGGACTGAGACTGGGATCAGACCAGGACTGAGACCAGGACCAGACTGTGACCAGACCAGGACCAGACTGTGACCAGACCGGGACCAGACTGTGACCAGACCGGTACCAGACTGCGACCAGACTGGGACCAGACTGCAACCAGACCGGAACCGGGACTGGGACCAGGACCGGGACTGGGACCGGAACCAGGACTGAGACCAGGACTGAGACCAAGACCAAGGCCAGGAACAGACCGGGACTGAGACCAGGAAAGGGACTGAGACCAGGACTGAGACCAGGACTGAGACCAGGACTGAGACCAGGACTGAGACCAGGACTGAGACCAGGACTGAAGGACTGAGACCAGGACTGAAACAATTTAGTCTTGTTTTAGTCCTGTTTTAGTCCTGATTCAGTCAGTTTTGTGGTGCAAAAGTCCAGCATCTCAGTTTAAGTCACGGAAACGGGAAACTGCCATTATCTGTTTTTTCCATTATTCATTTAAACAGAAAATTGAAAACTGAAGAAACAAATCATTATCTGTTTTTTCATTTTGGTTTTGGAGACAAATAATGAAGAAAATAGTTGTCTTTTCATTTTCTTATTTTTGCTTTTATTGAAAAACAAACGAACGAATGATGCTGACAACACGCACTGCAGTTCTGTTTATAGCTCCAGGGCCGTTCATTCAAATCATATGTTCCAACGGTCTCCAATATTATCAGTAAATCTCAATTAGATCAATGTGAGCTATGCAAGTTCTCAGTGAACGGAGAAAATAGATGGCATACTTGTCGTTGTGCGTTTACCTATTCTTTAGTCAGGTATTGCCAAGAATAATTACCCTATCAAGCTAAATTTGGAGTCCACATGAAAGCTGAGTGAGAGATAATGTGATGGAAAAATTGCGCTTATCAAGATGGAGATAATGGAATGCTGTTTGGGAATAAACGCTGAATGTTTGACGAAAACTAAGCCATTACTCATGCTATGTTTTCAAAATGAATTCTATGGAAAGCACTCACAGTTGAATCATCGCTCCTTGATTAAAATAGCTGTTCCTTTTCCTGTGAGGTGCTGAAAGAATTCTACTTAACGTAATTTAAAACATCTGTACATTTTGATGTGTGCAAATTGATTAAGATTTTTTAAAGTTTTGAGTTACGGCTTTTTCTCTTAGTGTAATTATACCACAAATTAAGACAAATGTGTTCACTTAAAATACACTTAGCCTGGCCTGTCTATAAATCTTATACTTTTCTAGAGCATATTCTTACTTACAGCTTATTGAGACTGGTATTTCTCTTGTTAATAATAGTAAAATGTCAAACTATTTTGATATTAAAGGGACAGTCCGAAATTTTGGACATAGGACCTCATTTCTTAGTGAGTCAGAGTGTTGGAGATGTGTGACACTTTTTTAAATATTCCATCCAGTCCTTGTATTTGCAGAGATAGCTGGTGCTAGACTAGTGCATGTCAATGGTCATAGTTATCCTGCCACTAAGGTTGGGCGGTATCCAAATTTTGATACTGTTAAACCTTCTCAGAATTTTACCAGAGTATACGTAATTACCGTATTACCAAAATGTTTTAGTACAACTTTGATAAGCTACGAAGTCGCATCACTATACGGTCTGTGTGTGTGACCTGCAGACTTATAATCTCTGAAAAGTTTCACATGAACCATCTCCAACGCGATACACAGAACAGACTCAGCATCAACCACACATCCTCTGTCACAGACAGAACATTCATATTCCACTGAGATGTGTCCTTTAGTCCGACAGAAACTGCCCACATCAATGCACAAGGAGCGAGCTGTTTTTATCAACATTTTATAGTTTATGCAAATGAGACATGTGGTTTTAAGTTTTGTTTCTGTAAAACGTAAACAAATGTGCGCCTGAAGCCAAAATGCGGCCAAATTGCAGAAGTACTAGTATTTTTTTTTGGGACCAACTCGTTTGCGGCCGGACTTGCCATCTTGTCTTGGTCTCCCTTATGAGCGTCACATGACAACGGAATGAAACTAACTGAATGTCATCCCCCCATGCAGTTAAAAGAAACATTACAGACACTATTAGTTTGAAACTGTGATCACATTAAACTGAAAATACAACCACACATTCATTTGTGCTGAGCAAACAAATTTAGGTATCAGTAAATTATAATATTATATTAGGTCCTTACACGCTGCAGATTTTAAAATTTTAAATGATGGTAATGAAACTGATACCATTGCTACTTTTTGATACCGCAGGATACCGTAATGCTGTATTATTCTTACTCACTCCACAACGCACTCAAAGCAAATCTATTATTACTCCAGATTGTCTGTGTAAATGTGTGTGTTGATAGAATAATGTTTGAAATAAAACTAACCTTGCATCGCATGAACTGTCGCATGTGGAGGGACTATTTTCTCAGCAACAGCGGAATTTTACTTTGCTGGTAAGACAGGTACTAGGTGATATCAGTCCGCCGCTCCCGAGCTTTTTATCAGGAAGTACAATTTGCTGCTGCTGCTCAGACATAAATCCTTCAAAGGTTGGTTTTACTTCTAAAATTATTCTATCAACACAGACATTCACATCGACAGTCTGGCGTAATAACAGATTTGCTTTGGGTGCTTTGTGGAGTGGGTAAGACTGTTTTTAGTGGCAGGATAACTGTGGCACTAGTCTAGCACCAGTGACCCCAGCAAATACAAGGACTGGATGGAATATTTTAAAAAGTGTCTCCACACTTCTAGAACACTCACTAGGAAATGAGGTCCTATGTCCAAAATTCCGGACTGTTCCTTTAAGGAATAGACTTGATACTCAAAACTCATAATAATACATTTTCTTTAGATAATAGAATGTGATTTTTAACTTAAATAATAGTACTTTCTGTTGTATTACCATGTGGTCTTAGATCTGTGTAATCCCTCAATGGTCCAGGTAGGTTCCATGGTGGTAATTTCTGTCCTGTGAATGTGACTTTTTAGTATTGATACCTGTTTAAATGAGTATGACGTTTAAATACTAGTTTTAGTATTGATTAGTGTCTGATTTTCAGTACTTCTGACAATCCTAGAATCCAAGAATGGTGTATATTTTAAGGCACTCTACGCAACTTGCATAGCTCTTTGTAAAGTAGAATTGTTTGACTGCTTGACGTCTGTTTTTGATTTGTTTAGTAGCTTCATTTTGCGCCGCTTGGTCTTTCTATCCGGAGTAATTTTGGACATGTCAGGATATATTAAAGTCTTGTTCAGCGCTGTGGAGTTTTGGAGTGTCTCTTGTAATACACGTATAGAATCCAAAGGTGGAACCTGGTTGGGTCTTCTGTTGGACTTCGTAGGGGGTTGTTTTGGAGGAGGGAGAGGAGGTTTCTTCTGCGGTCGGTTGGCTCTGCTGGATCCCAAGACGCGGAGTTTGATGGGGGCTTCGGATATACCTGCCATGTTCTTAGCCTGGCAGCGGTACTCCCCAGCGTCTTTGTAGGAAAGTCCGTTCAGGCTGATGACAGACCAGCGCACACCCACGCGAGGACTCCCCTGCATGACTGAGGATTAAACAGAAAAAGGGTGAATTAGATTATGATTATTAGTCACAGTATGCAACATTTTTTGTCTCAAGACATTTCTATGTTTTTTTTAATGTACAACTACTACTACTTGCATGATTTCTGATTTATATGTACTTATTATTAACACTATTGTTTCAGTCTGACTGAGCAGGAAAAACGAGCTTGACCGGTCATGGGATGGAGTTGGATTTTTGTGGATTTCTTTAAAAAAATGTAAATAGTCTAGCCTGATTCATCAGCCGGTTTTACTTTGTGGTAACCGTCTGACTTCGCAGCATTAGGATTCATTCGCTCAATGGTAGATCGGTACTTTTTTTATTTAACCAATCGCTGCTATTTGGTTAAGCTTTTCCCAAATCCCGTAGGAAGAAGAGCAATAACGTCTTTCCCCTTGATAAAATTCACCAAATCGAATCGTTGACAACAGAATTTATGGTTCTTCACTGATTGGCTGGTGTCCGAACTTGCACTTCTGGGATTCTTGGATTCTCCGATTATTGACATAGTCGCTGGAGAAAAATTTAATTGAGCGGAGGCACTAGGTGGCGCCAGCCTGGCTATAAATAGTCCCCCCCACATGAAAAATGTAAATTGTCCAGCATATGAAAGATGAAGGTAAACTTATCCTTGAATCTTAAAAAAGCCTTATATTGTGCTAAATTGACTCTTAAGTCATGTTATAATGCTGTTACCTCATACATTATTAGTCTATATCTTCAAAGCTCAAAATGCTCTGTTCCACCTTGTGATGTCATGAAGCGGTCATTTTCAAGTTAACATCCTTTTACCTTTTTTTTTCGCAGAGATTGGAATTTTCATGGCAGAATTTTTTTAAATGATTCTAGTGAAGGTGTATAGAGAACAAAGTGGATCACTTCATGTAAAAAACGTGACATCACAAGGTGAAACAGAGTGTTTTTAGTCTGAGATTTAGCTGAGAGTTAGTTCAGCCTAAATATGCAGGATTTTGCGAGTTAAACATGTGTGAATGAAACAAAACACAACTCCAGGTCTGTTTTTGAGGAGGTAACACTAACAGCATTATAGCATAGCATAAAATGGGCCCTTTGAAGCAACAAATAAAAAAATAAAAAAATAAATAAAACTGCTTGTCAAAATAAATCAACTCATGAGACGCAGGTTTCACTACTACAACAGTACTTACAGCTTGGCAGGCTCTTTGGCAGCTGATCAGCGTCAGGGGGAATCTCTTGTTGGCAGCAGTCTGAACGGAGGAGAAAGGATCAGCTAAAACCATTATCTTTTTCAATGAGCCAGAGCAGATTGCTGGCATAAGCAGGCTCTGCAGGATACTAACAAGACTAAAGCAGGTCCAATAATACGTTCTTTTGAATGGCCATATTGTTCTTGTGCAGAAAAAGTCTAGTGGTATCACCTCAGACATGTTCAGTGTATTTGAACAAAGAAAATAAAGATGCTAGCTGCTATCAAGGGTTTTTATAACAGATTTCACCACCCGTCCATATGACATGAAGAGTTGTACACAGTATTATTACCCACTGTACTTCATGTACACATGTTACACAAGAGACAGGATCAGATTAAATGAAAAAAAAACATTAAAATTAGTGCCCTGACAGAGCAGAGGAGCACCACCAGAGAGGATGAGGTCAAACTACAAACCCTGCAGGACGAGAAGGTCAGGCTGGAGTCTGTAGTGAAAGAGTTCAGCTCAAAGAAGAGTACTCCCTTACTTACTTTTACTTACTTGCGTATTTCTTTTTTGCTTCTGCATCTGTACTTTTACTTAAATAACTACCATATTTTCCAGGCTATTAGGCGCGCTCTTAAGCCTCCAACCCTATCAAAAAACAACCACGTGCCCCGCAATCCAGAGCGTCCTATACACAAATCCATTTGAGTGTCCCAGCATTACTTCAGTAAACTACAAAGCCGCACCACCCGCAGCGCACGCAAACACACACGGAGCAGACAGCGACCGAGCAACGAAACACACCCACAGCCACAGTCATCACTCCACGCCGACAAGGAACGGAAGGAAAAAGTGAGTGCAATGTGCCACTTCTAGACACAACTGAACAACTGAGTCACTGCAAACACGCCGACAATCCAGCGGTCCCAGACAGCACCCTCCCTACACGCCACAACTGAACAAAGCCCAGAGTCACCATGAACACGCCAAACAAAGTCCGACTGACCGATCCAACTGTTGAGTTTCATTTAAAGTCCGGTGCGGTTTATTTGTGAAAAAAGTTCAAAAATAGACCATTTAATGACAGTGCGTCTTATAATCCAGAGCGCATCATAGCCCGGAAAATACGGTAATTGCGTTCTTATTTCACTAGTTGTTTAGTGTCCTTGTTCTCTCCTCACCTGTATGCGCAGCGGCTTTGACCCAGCTGAGGGTGGGAGTGGGGTAGCCCGTGGCCTCACAGCGCAGGATGACGTTGCTGCCCAGGGGGGACACGACGCGGGTGGCTGCGGGCTGTACGGAGGGCCTCATACAGCGAGACCACTGCACGGGCATCAGCAGAGCCCCTCCCTGCCCCACAGAGCGGACGCACATCAGCACAGGGTCCACCAAAACCACCGGGCTGCCCAGGGACACCGACAGGGACGCCACCATGGAGATCTGACAGTCACACTGCCACGGGTTATCATGGAGACCTAAAAGATGGAGCAAGGAACTTCAAACATGTGAATATAAACCATAACAGACAATAGTTGCTTTGCTGGATAGAACAGGTGTAAGAGTGTTACCAGGGTAAAACAGTGGCATCCAGTAACTTGGCTCTATTCACATTTAAATCACAACCTAGGAAGACATTTGGAAACATGCGATGACAACTTCCAGTGTAGTTCCCGACACTGGGTTCACCGACCGACTGTGATCAAACCCACTGAAGTAAATGTGATCAGCGGAAAAATGAAGACTGCATACGTATGTGCTGCTTGGAATAATGTTGAATTTGGCCCATCGTCTCTTCTAATCAATCGCATGTACTCAGTGCGCTCGGAGTTGTGCGTCAGAGGGGAAATGATGAAAACTGAGCTATGGTTGTAATTGTTGATTAGCTGAACATAACGGAACGCTACAATGACATGGAGATGAAGAAAACTGGGCCATTATCTAATTTTCCAAGATTTTGTCAGACTTACTACTGCGAACAGAGCCTGCCAGAAATTTTCATCGCATGTTTCTGAATGTCTTCCTGGTTTGTGACGTAAATGTGAATAGAGCCTATTGTGAAAGCTGGGATTTAAACTTGAAATACTGAAAAATTTGACTTGTAACTTGGCTTAAAGATGTTACCTGCTAGTCTCCATGAACATTCCCAACAAAGTAATAACAATAAATGGCAGACCCTCTACCAGTAAAATGACATAAAGCACCTTGTAATGTCATTTTTCACATCTAAATATGTGTTGATTGAAAGTACTGGAATACATTTCAAGTAGATCAGCTTAATACAACAATTAGCTTTGGAACAATTACATGGAAAAGTAATACTCTACTCCAAAACTTTTGACAGAATTGAATTTTCTTTTAAAATGGAACCTGACAGGACAAGTGAGGGATTACACAGACAAAAATTATACACAACTTCTTAATTTAAATCAGTCATAACATACAAACTGTACGGTACCTAAAACTCTCCTCTGGACAGTGGTCTGCTGCTGTCCAGGCAAAGGGAACCACAGGTCAAGCAGCTCAGCGGGTAAAAGAACCAACCTGCAAAACATGTCCATCACACAGCAGTCAGGAATGCCTAAATCAGCTACAACAGGGCAAGGATTACTGGGCACACTGAGGGGGAAAAATGCCAGTTACTCACAACATAGGAACTATTGTAATACCACTTAGAAGGTAGAAAATAGTGTAAGATAAGCCCTTGAAGTCTATCTATGTTATAAAGTTCTTTCCTCATTAAAAATAATATACCTTGAGTTCTGTTATGTTTCATTCACACACATTCTGCATATTTAGATGTGAAATTCCAGAGCTTAAATCATCCAAAATGATTCTAGTGAAGGTGTATGGAGTTTAGAAACACAGTGGAGCACTTCCTGTATCACCACATGACATCACAAGTTGGACCAGAGTGTTTGCAGGGTTTGTGTTTAACATGTGTGAATGAAAAACAAAACTCCAGGTATATTTGATGAGGAAAGAACATTATAAGAGTTCAGAAAATAGCGTAATACCGGCCCTTTAGTTAGACAAAATAAAATATATTTGAAAATGTATACTGTTCAATATGAGTTATGTTACTAATGGTGATTTTTTTTTTTTTTTAAACCAGCCAGCTCATGCCCAGTCCATCAGTTTATCATGACATTTATAAAAGCATACACTAAGGCTGTGCAATTAATCGAATTTTGATTGCGATTTCAATGTGTGTGTCAAATGATCTCCAAACTCATATAATCGAGTTGAAACCATAAAGCTCAACAAAGTTTATTTTGGTTTTTTTTAAATATATAAATAAGTATATTTATTTTATTTTTTAAATATAGAGATTGTAGAACAGCTGGATATATAGCTTATTTTGGATAAATTTATGTTTTTCTATGCCTTATTTCATGTTCAAAGTATATTTTTCTCATTTTATGTTTTATACATTGTAAAAAACTGCTCTAAGGTTCATATTTGTAGCCTATATTTATTTTCAATGACAGTTTTGCGTAAATTATCAATAACAAAGTGTTTTTTTGTTTTTTTTATAGAAATGCTGAATCAATACCTCGTGAAACAAAAAAAAAATTATTGTTTGAATAATCGTGATTTCAATATTGACCAAAATAATTGTGATAATATTTCCATAATCAAGCAGCCCTCGCATATACTCTATTTCACAACTATATCTAAACAAATTGTGTTTCTCCAGCCCAACGCACCACTCTGTATCCGACCAAGTCTGCAGTACCTGTTACTAGAAAGGTCCAGGAAGGTGATATTAGCCAGGGACAAAGCAGCGTGTGCGGGGAGGCTGGACAGGCGGTTGTTGTGGAGGTCTAGGATCTGGAGGCGGGGCATGTCTCTAAGCCCCTCCCACGGGAAAGCGGTGAGTTGGTTCCCATCCAGTCGCAGCTCCCGGAGAGTCTTCAGGTTGACAAAACTGCTGGGGTGCACGGATCTCAGGGCGCTGTAGGTCAACCACAAGAAACGCAGCTCGGACAGGTTGTAGAAGGCTGCACGGGGGAGCCTGGAGATCTGGGTCTTCTCCAGCCTCAGCTTGACTGTGTTAACGGGGACATTGGTGGGGACAGTGAGGAGCTCAGGGTCATTGCACAGCACAGACCTGTGGGAACACATGTTGGGTTAATGTAAGGGCCAAAGTCAAGACTAAAACCATCTGAAATTACCAGTATATGAGAAGAAACAAATCAGATTTCACATGGGCTAAATGATTTTGTCCATCATGCAAAATTTGGTTACTTCCACATTTTCAAAATTAGTGGGGCGCATATCACCTGTCCAGAATTTCTACTCTGAACACAGGTTTGCACACATAAGGTTCTACTGTCCCCCTGCAGACACAGCATATGGGTGACTTGGGTAGGTCACATGGTAACAAGCCCTTCATGTAGATATTAGAGAAATCATAGGGAAATCTCATGGAGCATATCAAGAGGCATTTCTACGTTCCTCCCTTCACCTATGGTCATGAGCTTCGGATGATGACCGAAAGGAAAAGGTCGCAGATACAAGAAGTGGAAATGAGTGTCCTCTGAGTTTTCAGTGGTAGTGTGAGGAATTTGGTCACACGAGGAACATGGAGTAGAGCCGCTACTTCTCCACATCATCTGTTGGGCATCTGTTCTGGATGCCTCCTGGACGCCTACATGGAAAGGTGTTCCGGGGAAAAAGGCCCCAGGGAAGAACCAGGACACGCTGGAGGGACTATGTCTCTCGGGCTGGCCTGGGAACATCTCAGGATCCCTCTGGAAGAGCTGGAAGAGTGTGTGTGGAAAGAGGAGTCTGGGAGTCCCTGCTCAGACTGCTTCTGCCACGACCCGGCCCCAGATAAAGCAGAAGAAAATGGATGGACCCATTTCATGGAGCTTTGATGGGGTATAGTAATACCTACTGAGAATTTTGTATTCTTTGACATACATTTGTTTTCTTTGCCATGCAGTTTGCTAGACTTCTAGACTATTTTTTCATGAAGAAATGATTTTTAATGCTACATGTTCAAAAGCATTAATACTTGAAAGCAGACATAAATATGAGCTGCTAAAAGTTAAAACATTTTGTGGAGGTCTAAAATAAACTACAATGTAAAGATATTCCATAGATGGCACTTTGTTTACTGAGGACATTCCCATTTCTTTCAATTTGCTACTAATCTTGCAGCCCTAACTGAGATTTTTCCTATAAAAACATAGCATAGTAAATATTACTGTGTACGTTACCTGGGCTCCTCCGTGGCCTGGGCAGATGTGCAGGTGCAGAGAGAGGGACAGGAGAGGACTCTGGTTGTGGACCACTGCAGCAGGAGTAGCACCCAAAGGGGAAACATGGTTCACCCGAGCAGCACCCACAGAGCATGCATGGTTCACCCGAGTGGCACCCACAGGAGAGGCATGGTTGAACGGAGCTTTCTCTGCAGGCTGGAGGCTGTCAGTCAGGTACGTTCCACACAGAGCTGACCAGATTAGCTGGGATTACGTTTAGAAGCACTGCTTAATCCCACGTGTTCAGATGTGAGAATCACAAATCACAACATCACCCATAGTAGAGGTTTGCTGACTCTCACTGTACTCAATGGTGACATGGCAGAAGACCTGCGTTATAGAATAGCCTTGTAAATATTTATTTAACTTTCTCTACAGAAGGAAAGAAGCAGTGGTCATGTTGTTAATGTAAATTTAGCCCTTTAACTATTTGACCTTTAAGTTATTATGATATTTTTTTCAGTGTAAAAAATATGCCTTTCTACATGATTATTTATTTAATGAGACAGGGACAGTGCACAATTTACTTTAACTTTAACAGGAGAGATGCATTGTACCAGGTTGTGGCATTTCATTGACCTTATTAACTGTTTGTGTGCTCAGTCTTTTAGGATGAACACGTGCGTGGTCGAATATGAGTTTTTGAAGAAAGCCCGGATAATGATTTTGAAACATCGAATGAATAAATGATGCTAAAGCTAAACCTATATCTTGTAGCTATGTCCCTCACCCATATGAAAACTTACCTGCAGTCACACAGTAGTGAGGTTTAGGTACGTTTTTGTCCTGCTCTCCCCCTGACCCCTGACCCCGGGCTGACCCTGCAGCCCCAAACATGTTTGTGTCAGTGCAAGGCCCCAATTGTTTTAGCTCAACTGATTAACCTACCAACCATACCATACCATGACTACAAACTAATGTTCAATGCATCTGATGCAGTTCTAGCGCCCTCTGCTGGTATTTCTATTTCATGCCTTACTACTTTAGGCCCACTGGTAGTTTCAACACACATTTGCACAGACTGAATGTCAATACGCAATGCACGTTTCAAAAGCAAAAATACTGCATAATGTAGCACCTTTAGGAAGCCTAATAGCTGTGTTTCAGAGGACATCACAACTTTGTATAGGGCAATATACAGTATTATAACAGAGATGGCAGGGGTAGCTAAAATTAATATTGTTAAAATATATTTTTACTGAGTCTAGTGAGTTCTTGAGTCTCATCACTAATAATAAAGATTAGGTTCAGCATTTGTGAATTTACTTGGGAGTATGACATAATCACATTTTAGAAGAGAGGCCGCTTGCACCCCAGGTTCATATCAGCTATTCTATGATTGAATGAATTTCAGTCAACACACAGAGCAAGTATAGGAACAATTTATTTTAATTTAAACAAATAGCTTGTCATTATGTATCTCTCAAAGGCGGCAATGAATCGTAATCATGTCTGAATGAGGATCAGGCAACAGTGGTCCAAACGAATACAGAAACACGATTGAAAAATATGGCAAGATTCATGGAAATCATTAAAAACCAAATGCATGAGCCCTTCTATAAAGGGTCTGCTTCATTGAAAAACCAAGCCCTCACTTTCAACACAAAATAAAACAGCACATGCAAATATTATTACAGTCTCTTAAAAAACAGATTATTTTTTTTAAATCTTAAATACAGATAGTAAAGTCTCTGTGAACTCTTCTAGCCTAGTGTGTTTTCCTTCAGGAGGGAGCGGTCGGGTGGTCCCACGGTGACCACGGCGTTGGCACTTACAGTGAGCCTTGCTCTATAGAGTGGGGTTGGCACACTCAGTATAATACATATTTTACATCGCTTTGTACAAAGAAATTACACAACATAAATAAAATGGTCCTAATGCTTCTGGTCATGTGACAGGGGACTGAATGATCCAAACGCAGGCTCATAGAGTACACCTGCTCTGCCCGACTGTTAAAGGGCTGCAGTCCTTCATACTTCAAGGCAATACTTCAAAACAAATACTTTTCTTTCATTTGTGTGTTCCATGGACTTTCAATATTTTCTACTACTTCAACTGTAGACATTACGCAGGATTCATACTAAAACTTACTTGGCCTTGCCCATAAGTTAGTGTCCAGTGCCATACTAACAACTACTATTACTACCACCAAAAAATCCTTCATTTGTAGAATACTGGCATCATGACATATAGACTCTCCTTAGTGCATGGCAACAAAACCTACAAACCTGTACCCGCAACATTTTACCTATGATTTGGGTAAGAAACATAACCAAATCATGATCAGGAATATTGCCTGTATTAATAAAGCTAATTGCATCTAACTTAACTTTACCCTCATTCTACTTTCTTCTCTGATTGTAGAGTTAGAGGGGAGGGCATCTGATATAAAACTATCATCATTGCACTTCATTTAATAGGGAGAAAATGGTGTTTAGATGCTCTACATTGCATAAGGCCAATAAGGTTAATTTCTTTCATTTTTGTTTTGGCATACAACAAGAAAAAAACATATATATAACTTTCTATCTTCCTTCTTTTCTTCTTTCTTATTTATTCTTTGCCATGCACCACTTTCGTAATACTAGGGGCCAAAGCAGCATTGTTTAGTGTATTGATAGAAACACTGATGTAGAAAAGGGCCATTTTTCTTGTCTAGAAATGGGTTATTTTTAACAAAGAAAGTACTTGGGAGGGCTGTGCATGTAAACCTTTTTAAAGTATGCTCTATTATAGCCCTTAATGGGGGATTGGGATTAAAATTTCAGATCCTAGAATATAACCACGCATCTCTGGCACATTCTTAACCTTCAAAATCTCAAAAAAAAAAAATCATTACAGTTAGAATCCATACTCAGAAGTGGCCAGAATAAGAAATTGTAAAAAAAAACAAAAACAAAAAAAAACTTGGTGTAATACTCAATTATAATATGCAATACGTCTCTAAACCAAGTAAAAATAGTGTCCACACAAACGTGAAGAATCCTACAAAACCAAAGTGTCTTCTTATCCATGGAATAGTGGCAAAATGTGGTGTCAGAACATAAAAAGCAAAGATATGTCCTTACTATCAAGCACATTCATTTATACAGCAGTTCAGAGACTCAAGTACGCTCTGCCACGTGGGGAGTTCTTCCGCGACACAAAGTAGTCCGACTTGTGGTCCATAAATAAGTTAAGATAAATAAAGGTTATGCCACACTGTGCACAGGCCCTCGGTAATACCAACGTGACAGCATCAAAACCAATGGAAATAAGTGATACATGAAGACCGAATAGTGTATGGGTGCTTGGGTTACAGGCTGGAGAAGTGGGCTGTTCCAGTGGGAAATAGTGTGTTAATTAGTCTCTTGTTATGATGAACCTAGATATGTTATTCACCAATGTTTTCTGGGGAATTTGATTTGCAAAGCACCTGTGACAATAAATGTGATTTCAGCAGCAACAGTTGCATATGATAAAGAAGACTTTTCACATGTTAGAATTTTGGACGTAAACAGGCAGGAATTTGATCAAATCTGAATTTAAATATTTTTTAGTAAATCAAGTCCACTGTTTCCAGACTGTAGAAACCCTTTGACCAGCCTTCTCATGTATTCCCATTATTATTATTTACAGTAGCGTGGCCTTTGTCTGTCCAAACTGGGTTGGAGAGGGCAGAGGATGGACATGCACCTAACCGTGGTGTAATGACTTTAGAATGGTCACTGGTGCGAGGGGCAGACCCAGAGCCGTGTGTCTAAAGTGAATGGGCGTGGCCCTGCACACGTGCACTACAGTGGCAGCGGCCTACAGGACAAACCCAGACCATGTGATTGTTCTCACTGAAAAGCTCTACACACTCACAAAATCAACGTAGTCAAGTCTGGTTGCCTCTAACATTTTTTGTTATAAATAATTCTATTTAGCGTTTTTAAATATACAGAGCAACAAAGACATTATTAAAATGGTTTAAAAATCTTGTGTGGTGTATTTTGATTTGTGTGAGTAAAGAAGCACTTCATTCGTCTTCAGAATGGAAACATTAAAATCATAGTCCGTAGCTGAGCTCACACTGATGGTACATTCCTTTGTTTGTGCACCAAGTGCAGCAGTGTAGTCCAACTGGAGTGTGTCAGAGCAGTGCTGTGCTGCCCTCTAGCTGCTGTCAGAGGTACATCTCTTCCACTCAAAGTCGGTCTGGATTCTTCTTTCACCAAAGCATGTTGTCACAGTGAGTGCTGCCACAAACACACCCATGCCCACAGAGCCCGTGTGCCCACATGACAGGGCACACAGACCCGCTGTGGACTCAACACAAGCTGCCAGAGACCAGAGGGGTGTGGTGTGGGGGGGCAGAGGGGCAGAGAGGGGCAGAGAGGGACAGGGGCGGAGTGATCGGGTGATGCCACAGACAGGAGCACAGGCCACACAGCCCGGGCTTTGTGCAGTGCAGTGGGCTCGGCGGCTCCTACACCAGGTTGTACTCCTTGAGGTTGAGCTGTAGGATGGTGTCTTTGACCGCGGCAAACACAAAGCGGATGTTCTCAGTGTCCGTGGCACAGGTGAAGTGAGAGTAGATGATCTTGTCACTGTCGGGGTTTAAGTCCACAAACATTTTCAGGATGAACTCCCGGGCGGCCTGGGCATCCCTCTGGGGACCTACGATAAAAGGACTGCAGTCAGTCCAAGTCCAGTGTTCACTCACACCACAAAGCAGTGAGCAAACCAAACACTCTGCTACACCGAGCTCAAGACACAACTCAATTTCTTACTTTAGTCCTTAACAGTAGCCCCTAAATTTGATATTAGGCAAATTAATCTGTTTACTACAAGTATATGGACAATTATTGCTCTCAAATTTTCTTGTTTTAATTATCCTAAATCCCCCAAAATGTTAAGATTGTAGGATGTACTACAAAGAACATTTTTATATTCAAATACTAGACTAGATTTCACATTTTTAGTCTGAAACCTTACTCCCTTTATGCCCTATAAATCCAACACGAACGCTGAAGCAATCACAGACATAGGCGCTATCTGCATTCTTCAGATGTGCTTTTCTCATTTTCAGCATTAAATCGTAGTACTGTCTTTTATATTACCATGTAGTCTTATATCTGTGTAATCCCTCAGTTGTCCAGGTAGGGTCTATGTGCTCTTATATTTGTTCTAATACAGCTCACGATCATTCTAAAGCTATTAAGGAAAAGTTCATTTCCGTCCTGTGACTGCAACTTTTTTAGTATCAATACCTGGTCAAAATTTAGTATTGAAAAGTGTCTGATTTTCAATACTTTTGTTAACACCAGATAGAAATAAACAACTGAAATCTTTGAACATCAAAACCTTTCACAGTTGACCTTGACGTATGTACAAAAAGCAGATCTTGTATTTCTGAAAGATGGATTGAATATTCCAGGGGAGTCTAGACAACACGCCGAGGGAGAGCAGCCAACAATGCACAACAATTTGCAAAGGCCCAAACTATATTTAAGTATGAAGTGAAGGAATGTCTTAAATATAACTTAAATAGTTTGCAGCACTGCGCCTTATTTGTACCGTCTTGTGAATGTGAAAACTAGAACAAGCAGTCCAAACTTATTCCTCAATTTCCTACCACATTCCTAGTATCATAATTATTCACCAGGAAAAATGTATGCGTGTTTCACATCTTCTTACCATCAAATTCAGGAAAATAATCCACTAAATGTGAGTAGGCAATCTTCTCCTCAAGCAGGTCCTTCTTGTTGAGGAAGAGGATGACGGAGGAGTTCTGGAACCAGGGGTAGGTGATGATGGTTCGGAACAGCGCTTTGCTCTCCTCCATACGGTTCTGGAGCAGGCACACGAACACACAAACACACACACAGTTTAGACAGTAATAAGGAACATTCCTGTTTTGTTCTTATATTGTGTATTGATGATAGAAATGATATGCTTCTGTACTCGTACCTCATTGTCGGACTCCACCAGGACCTGGTCATATTCACTCAGAGCCACCAAGAACATGATGGATGTCACATTCTCAAAGCAGTGGATCCACTTCCTCCTCTCTGACCTCTGACCCCCGACATCCACCATTCTGCATTATCAAGAGTTTAATTTACAATCACTCCTCACACATGTGCAGAACAAAGCCTAGCCTTACAGAGCTGAGTCCATCCAGTCTGACTGTCTAAAACAGGCCGCTGCTCTTGACTTAATGACTATCCAGGTTTCTTTGTGTAATTACAATGGTGTCACACTGGATGGATTCACAAAGTGGAGAGGCACACAGCAGTGCTGTTACGGTTTGCAAGCTTAAAGGTGAAAGATCTGTGCATGCATGGAGTAATAAAGCAGCATGCAAATCACTCTTAAAGTGAAGTTAACATGTACTCAGTGTGTTTCAAACTAATTCTTATTTCACTGCATATTTGTCACAATTGTCACTTTCCTATTTATAAGTTACCGTCTGATGATGCAATGTATCTGAAATTTCATCTTGTAAAAAAACAAAAAAGTGATGAGTTGTCGTCAATTAAAGCATCAAAACATCTAGATCAGTCAGACGCCTGAGGCGTGTATTATTAGAACTAGCCTGTGCTTCCTGGAGAGAGAAAATTACCAGGAGAATGAATCTGAACATGTACAGAGACAATAGTGAAATAGAACAAGGACAAAATAAGGGACAGGAGGAGGTGGGGATCTCAGGAGGGCCACACATCCTAGATACAGAAATACAGATGAGGAGAGGGCCCTGTGTCCACTGTCACACTACAGGAAATAATCTATAATCTAATGCATACATACACTGCATGTGTGTGGCTGAGGGCACACAGGGACAGTGGCCCCTGAGGTCCCTTCTCCTTGAGCTTCTCCTTGACATTGTCAAACTCAGCTCATTAGAGGCTAAAACACTCCCCTTTGTGATCGATGCACTGTTTAAAAATAGCCCCATTCAAACCCTAACATTTTCATGTCCAGGTGCAGTTGACAAAATGGACAAATCTGACTAAATTTCAGGAAGTGAAATACTGCCCCCTAGTGGTGGCCCAGTCCACCAAGGTCCACAGAGACCTGGGGCCAATATAGGCCCTGCAGGACCTGCTGCCCAAAATAACAGCTCCACAGAACGGACGACCTGGTTTTTCTGGCAGATAGAGCGGAGAAGGAGGAGGCGACCCAGTTACAGAGACCAGGAGAATGTAGGCCTCCCACCCCACACAAACACACTACAGTGTAATTGGACAGTCCCACCATTACCAGAGGTTAGTCAATCAGGAGGGGTCACCAGGTTAGGGGCACGACAACATGATTCAAAGTGATGCACTGTGCATTGGTTCTACCTGAAAATGATGCTTTGCAAGTCGAAGGGGTACTCTATGATTCCTGTGGTGGGGATGCGCACTCTGAGCACATCCTGTTGCGTAGGAAGATAGTTGGGATCTGAAATTCGCTCCAGATCCGAAAGATAACTACAGACAGAGCAGTCAAAGAGAGAGAGAGATACAAGAAAGACAAGAAAACAGTTATATAAAGCGTGACAGGCAGATTATCACAAGGCCTTCCACGGTTCCAGGAAGAGGAGATCAGAGCTGGGGGGAAGGCTTCACAGAAAAGGACACTCTCAGAGACAAAGGCCGTTAGTCATGACGGCAGCAGACAGCATAGAGGCCTACAACCTACACAGGCCTACACTATATGAGACTTATGCAGAGAGGAAACAGGAGGCAGCCACTGATCAAAAGGTCTAGTACTAGTATGTCAAAGTTCTCCAGACCAGAACATTCCAAATTCAAAATGGAGGCAGTACGATTAGTTTGAATGGTACATGTTCGTCGTCTTGCAGAAGCTTTGACATCGTACCGGCTCCTTTGTGATCCAGAATGTGAACGCTTCCACACTTGGGTGCAGGGCGGTCTTATCCTCCCGGAGCAAGGCACTTTGGCACGCAGAGAGCCCAAACCACCGCTCCACCAGAACCACTGCGAGCTTCAGGGTTGTGTTCAAGTCATGTCATTAAAAAAAAGGCCTCAAAGTTTATAATTTAAGTTGGAGAGCAGCAAATAAATCAATGGTAGAACCCAATTGTGTTGATACTGTTTGTGGTTAAGGCATACTAAGGTTTGAGCCAAGGAGATGGGGGCTGGACAGAGGGGGTCCTGTGGGGGGTTTATAAGAAGGCACACATAAAGTACACACATAACTGCTAAGTAGACTTTGCCTGTACTTGCTCTATATCATATCACCTTTGGCCACTAAGTTTGAATAATTTGTAAAAAATATATAACTTACAATGATTTTTGGCTCTATTATAAGTAGGGGTGTGCAAAAGTATCAAATTGTTAAAATAATACAGTATAATAATAGAGTATCGATATGCTACTGTACCAATATATCGCTAAGAGTATTTTTTGGTATATTTTACTAAATTATTTTGTTACAGTGCAGTTTTGTTGCTTGTTTAAAGGAAGGAAACTTGTTTATGCGACACAATTGACATTTTCACAGTTTTGATGATTAAAATGTGCACGTTTCATATGAACTTAGCACAAGAAGTGGTTTAACAAAGACTTTTAGTATCACAGTCATGATTTACCTTATTTTTGATTGCACATGGTTTTAACACTTTTATGTCTTTAATATGCAATTGTTTCACTGTCTTATATCCCTATTCACTGTTTCATGTTATAGTTGATGTGAGTTTTCCATTTGTGCTTCTGTTTTATCCTGCCTCTTGGCCAGGCCGTCATTGTAAATGAGAAGGTGTTCTCAACTGACTTACCTGGTAAAATATTGAATAAATACATAAATGAAATGTAGCCATTATTTTTTATTGAACTGTATTGAATCGATTTTAATCTGTATCGAGGTATGTATTGTATCAGCAACTTCTTAATGATAACCAGCCCTAGTTATAAGAGTAACAGTATTATGAAACCACTGTGTACAGTCCCTCAGTTGTCCAGGTAAAATTCATTGCAAAAGGGGGAAATTCTATTTGTCAACTAGACAAAAATTTATTTGGTCGAATACATTTCGCAGCTCTTCAGTTCTTCAGTTCTGGTCAGAATGCTGGTGGACACTGCCTTATAGCTGTCTGAGGGGAGGAGATAACTACACTGAAACTACTCTCAAACTAACACCCTACATGTTTTCAGTCTGTTAGTTAGCTAGGGCTGTTGAATTTGCACTGAGTGTGGGGTCATATTAGCAGAATCATTCAGGGCCATAATGGAGCTTTCACAGTTCTGGACCTGACCTGGCTATCCCTATTGTTTTCTTTGTTTGTTTAGATTTAGTTTTGAGGATGGAGTTGTAAATAGGAGATAGATGGTGTCTGAGGCCTCCATTTCTGTTTAAGGAAGGATTCGCTTTCTTAACAAAAATAGCTTCTTTAACTCCCCTCTCAAACCAATTCTTTTCTCTGGCTAAGATCTGTGCACCAGTCATGTAAGGAATCTCTTGGGTTCTGATTCTCTGTTGTCTTGTGAAACAATATTATGAAACAGTAGGATTTCTGCGCGTTCGAGGGCTCCTCACTGTTGTAGGGTTTAGGATTTGTTCTTCCAGTTAAGAATGAATTTAAATGTAGTGAATGCCAAAAATCTTAGTAAAATAAAAATTTTCGTATTAGAACAAGTCATGAATGAGGCCCACTGCATTTTCATATTACTTAATAAAAATAAATCTGATATTATTTAGACTTACAGGTGTAATTTTAGACAGTAGACAAAATATAAACGTAGTTAATGTCCCTTGTGGATCAATAAAGTTTATCTAAGTCTTCTGGATGACCCAAAATTCATGATTTTTATTGTGTTTACATTTGGATTAGACAAAAAAGGATTACGTGCTAGTGAATTACACCTCCTTGAGAAGCTGTAGATTCTAAACGCAGTGGTAGAATAACTAAAAAATGTAATCAAGTAAATGAAAAAAAATTGTTAGGTCTAAATTTTATAGCAAATTATGTCAAAATCTCACTGCTCTTGTGCACCAAATCTTGTGTCTTGCGTCTCATCCCACCCATATTATTTAATCATTTATTTACTTTCAGTTTCTTTCTTAGATACTTTAACCACTGAGTCAGCCTAATATTATCTTAGTCTCTCCATCTGAGATTTTACCATAATCAAATTCTATCTCGCACATGAACACAACCCATCGAGAGCCTTATCCTTCCTGGGTCAGCCGTGGTTTGCGCTCTGGGTCTGGCCGTGCCTCTGCTGTACCTGAAGATGACGTTCTCCAGGTCAAAGGGGTACTCTATGATCCCCGTGGTGGGCACTCGCACCCTCAGCACATCCTGTTGTGTGGGGACATAGCCTGGAGCAGTCACCCGCTCTAGGTCGTTCAGGTAACTACACACAGGTTTTAGTCAGGGCAAGAATCAACAAAATACAATTAATACGTTCAAAGGAAAACATGGGAGCTGGAGAATTGCTGCACACATAGGACTTCGAATCCTGTGGAGTTAAGATGGTTATTATTATATAGACAAAAACGTGAAAGTCCTATATTCTACAAAATGGATTCTTGAGAGATTTTAGTTATGTTATAATGCTGTTACCTCATCAAAAACATATTTGGAATTCTGTTTTGTTTCAGTCACACGCACATGTTTGAGTAACCCTTTATTATTGGATGTCATGTAGTGGTAGCCTGATTCATCAGCTGGTTTCACTTTATGGAAACCATCTGACCTCGCAGCATTAGGATTTGTTTGTTCGACGGTAGGCTGGTACTTTTTTTATTTAATCAGTCACTACTATTTGGTCGTGATGTATGTAATGCACCAAATCTCGTAGAAAGAAGGGCAATAAAGTCTTTCCACTTGATAAAATTCAGCAAACATTCTCTTTGTTCCAGCTTTAAATTCTCAATCTCAGGAATCGTTGCCAACACAGAATGTATGGCTTTATCTACAATTATCTTGACCGCTTTGTTTACCGTTGTGTTGTACCACAAAAGGGACTTAGACAGGCACTTGAGTTTGACGTCATGGCTTCACAGCTCTTTGCTGATTGGCCAGTGCGCAGTCTACAACTTCCGGGGTTCTTGCAAACCATCTAGTATATTCCGATCCCTGATGTAGTCACTGGAAAAAAATGAAATTGAGCGGAGGCACTAGGCGGTAGTGATAATGGCAATTCCAGGGCTGAAATCATCAAACGGACTCTTGTGAAAGTATATGGAGTTTATAATACAGTGGAGCACTTCCTGTATTACCACATGACATCAGAAAGTGGAACAGTGTTTTTTTTTTGTTTGAGAGAAGAACTAAATATGCAAGGTTTGTGTGTCAACATGTGCGAATGAAACAAAACACAGCTCCAGGTCTGATTTGAATGAGAAAACAACATTATAAACACAGATTAGAATTACATCCCTACTTTTATTTAGCTTTTTAAAATTTATTTTGTAGCTCTGTACTGTAGATGTGACTCCTATATACATTTTATAGTTAATACCGTATGTGAGTGTTTGCTCAAATATGAAATCAAAACTGAAATGTCATATCTATTTGAAGACCTATAGACTAGAGCTACTGTATCAACAAAGAATAAGAGGGTAATACAGCACGTCGTTTCACAAATGAAAAAAATGCAATACATTTTCAAAATCTACTTTGCCTAAAACATAATCAAAACCAGTAGAAAGAAACGTCTGGGTATGCTAAGCTTGACAGTGTTTTAAATCACTGTCTGATAATAAATTTCCAAAATGATAACACAGAATTTGAGATAAAAGTTTTATCATCTAAACGTAAAAATTCCAAATCTCTTTATCCCTGGTTAAAGCCTTAAGAATGTTGAGATCTACAGCCTTATCAGTTACCACACACACACAAACACACACAAGGAGACAGAAGACGTACTATTTAGTGGAGTCGGACAGCTGGTACTCTCTCCTCCGGTCATAGGCCTCCTGGATCCCGGGGTCAGACCACAGGGTTCTGATGGCCGAGATGTGAGGCTCCTCAAAGCTGTTGATCTTCTCTATGTCCACCTCCTTCACCAGCCCAGCATTGGCCTGGAGACAATGCAAAAAAACAAAACAAAAAAAAAAGATTAGTTTTCCTGATACTTGATTTTTACAAGAGTGCCAGTATTTACAGAAAATGGGAAATTTTGAATAGCCTAAATTTAAAATATATATTTTTGAGTGAGTTTAGTAAAGACATTGTTAAGCATTAAACATTTTAGTCCATTTGGAGTTAATTTGGCTTGTAATAAGATGAAATACTACTCTGAAAACAGCCAGGATTATTGTCAATTAATCTCAAAACTACTCAAATTAAAGCTAGGCAATTTGAAGATAAAATGTGCTGTAACAGTTATCTGATCCTTTGACAATATAGTATTTCTTTAGTACATAAATAAAGAAGATGGAGGAGGTTTTGGTTGCTTAGTTTAATCTTTTAAGACAATAAAGATGGTTAAAAGAAGTGCATGTCACTTGCACTTTTGAAGTTTTAAAAAGGTATTACAATAGGAACTGAACCTGAATTGCCAGAGCCTTAACCTGTAGATAGAGGACATGTACAAGTAGGGGTGTGCAAAAATGTAGAAATATCAACATATTGTATTCTTTAATGTGATGATACAGTATCGATATCGTGGGCTGCTGTATCGATATATCACCAAGAGCATTTTTTGGATTATTTTACTAAATTATTTAGTTAAAACGCTACAGTTTTGTTGTTTGTTTAGTGGAAGGAAACTCTTTTATGTGACGCATTTGACATATTCACTGTTTTGATGATTTAAATGTGTATGTTTAATTTTCACTTTACACAAGAAGTGGTTTAATAAAAGACGTTTAGTATCACAGCCATGTTTTGGCCTCGTATTGTTCGTTGATCTTATCAAATCGAAAGTGCACCGTATCGTGATATGTATTGTATCGTGGCCTATGTATCGAGGTATTTATCATATCGGCAACTTCTTAAGCCTGAGTTTATCTCATTCTTAGTTTATGGACAGGTCTCATGTGAAAGCTCAGAACTTCCAGAATTCCCTCCCTGAGCTGCAAAGGCTGCACTGGCACTGACTCATGACTGTGATGAAGGTGCTGGGATTTAGGTAGTGACCATTTGGCTTTTTAGGTTTAAACCAAGTGGATATCAGCCTTGAAACTGGCAACCCAAACAAGAGACTCGTGTGAGGCTCATTCTGCTTCGTGATTGGATAATCGTCTTGGGAACCAAAACACCAAATTATAACATAAACAACTCAGCCATCATGTCCAATGTTTTTGTAAATATATTATGTAATATATCAGAATTAAGGTCGCTATTAGTTAAAGATGTATTTGATTTGAACATGTTTACCTCATATCTGGGGACAGAGATAGTGGAGAGGTTTATGGAGTTCAAAATCTAAACATAATATATAATGTTAAATGTGTATACCAATATATTTTTATACTGAAAACATGTATATTTATTTGGAAATTGAAGCTAAGAAAACTACAAATTCCTCCAGCTGCTAGTTCTTCCCTCAATCTTTATGGAGTTGGCACATTTTTTATTGTTAACACAACTAAATACTCCTGTGTATGGCTTCTGTTTATATAAATACTATATAAAACTAACTAAACTATTTGAACGTTTTATTTGGTCCTGTCTTACCCGGTTCTCCTCAAACTTGAAGGGGATCTTGAGGGTCTCGGTGGCTCGGATCATGGACTGCATGGAGATGAAGATATTCTGGTAGACGAGGCGGATGAAGCCCCTCTTGTCCTCGTCTGAGTATCCCGCTCCATGGATGATCCTCATCTGCTTTATGAAGGTGCTTTTGCCGCTCTCTCCTGTGCCTGTGAAGACAAGAACACAAACAGGTATTTAAAAACACACATTAGATAATCAAAATTGTTCAAAATCATCGGCAATATGGTTAGGGCTGCAAGACTTTAGTCATTTAATCATTTTATTTAGATTATAATGATTTATATGAGAACAAAATCAAACAGAGGAAGTTAGAGAATAAGTGAAAAAGAAAGATTTAGCATTTATTCAAATGTTCAAAGAAATTAAGTAAGTTTTAACATTTATTTATAGAGTGTCTTTCACAGAGCTCCCAAGGTGCTTTACAGATTGAAAATATTCATATTAATAAAAAGACAAAATGCAAAACATACAATACAAAAATACAATACAGTCAGAAAAAAGCACCAATATTTACAAAAATAAATAAATAAAAAATACAGGTCAATTAAAATAGGTCTCTAAAGCCAAGTCTATACAGGTAAGTCTTCAATTACTTTTCAATGACCAGATCTGGCTGATTTTCATGATTCACAAGTTTTATCTTGTCTAGAAGTACATTGGTAGTACTTTTCAGTGCTTAAATAGTCGATTTATGAACTACCCCTGCATGTGTGGTCTTGTGTTTGCAGTTTGGGTCACGTACACAAGAAATACATAAGAGTTTGGAGACTTTTGCCACATCCCCTTTTTAGTCAATCAATCAGTAGGACAGGTCTTAGTCCACTACAGCCCTAAAAATGACATAGGCCTGCTGTTATTACTGTGAAAAATGGCCATGCATAACAATTACTTTACTCTTTTATTATTATTTAAAAAATGTAACATTGTATTAGGCAATTCAATGAGCTGATATTTTGGTATTAAGTCTGAATCTAAAAGTTGCAAATAGAAAAAAAGGAACAGATAATCTTTGTTGTATGATTAATGACTTTGTGCATGGCTCCTGACGAAAGTAAAAAAAATATATAATAAAAAAATGAAAGATAAAGATTACGTTTTAGATGTTTCACAAGCCTCTCAAAGCACTTTAATATTAGTCCATTTATAATATTCACTCCCCAATCGCACTCTTAATACGGTCACTTACCCAGTCACACAATCTTATAACACAAGCAAAACGGTGAAGGGTCAAACCATACAGACCTTCATTCAAGTCTATGTTTTGAATAAATGTTGAAGAACTCATTTACAGGGTTCCCACTCTTTTTCACTGACAAAATTTCAAAATTTTTCCATGACTTTTTCATGACCTAAAGTGAATTATCCATGACTTTACGACACTCTTCATGTGCAGAATTGACCATAATTTTAAGGCTAAATATGAAATGTTAACCCTTTCCACTCACCTTATGGTTTGGGATTATAGTTTTTTAACATTCAAAATACTGTCAGTGCATTTATTGTTGAGGACCCCCTTGAAAACAAGATGGTGACACATCTCAAGCGGCTTATCCTCCAAACAAATAAATTCAAATAATGAGAACTTCACAGAACGCTGTAGTTGCGTGAAAGAGATACTAAAATTACTTGACTTTTACAGGCCTGGAAAACTACATTTTCAATTTCCATGACTTTTCCAGGATTTCCATGACTGTGGGAACCCTGCATTTAAAGGGCCCATATTAGGATATTTTCTGATCAATGTTATACAGTTGTTTCCTCATCACAAACAGACCTGGAGTTGTGTTTTGTTTCATCATTTACACATGTTTAACACAGAAATCCTACAGAGTGTATTTAGGCGTTCTTCCATCAACCAGAAAACACTCTGTTGCACCTTGTGATATCATGTGGTAAAACATGGAGTTTTCTGTTTTTAAACTCCATACACCTGTTAACTTAATGCTTCATGATAGGGATGTAACGATATCCAAATCTCTCGGTATGATATTATCACGATATGCATCTCACGGTACGATATTTACTTGCGATATTTTGCAGAGGCTACTATAATTGTAGAAATGACACTCTTTTGCTTTTAAAATACCTTGACAAGATTTTGGTGTGAATTATTTCTGTCACAATCCCAAAAATTCAAGTAAAAACACATTTCTTCATATTGTTTACACTGAAATGAATCATGGGATATGTAGTTCCCAATGTTTATAAGCCGTTACTACTGTAAAACCATGCGTTTAAACAAAGGAACTTGTAATTTGATATATTGTGATGGCCCATGATATTACTGTGAGACTTGACGATACGATATCACAATATTTCGACTATTGTTTCATCCCTACTTCATGACATCAAAAGGTGGAACAGAGCATTTTGAGCTGTGAGGATGTAGACAAACTAATAATGCAGGTTTACTCAAACATGTGTGAATGAAACAAAATAGAACTCCAGCTCTGTTTTTGAGAAGGTAAGAACATTCTAACTTGACTTAAAGGCCACAAGAGTCAGTTCTGTGTGATATTGGACCTTTAAGTTCCTTTTAATCAGATATCATTGAAAGAGTAGGGCTTCATTCACAAATGACTCAAGGGAGATTGTCTGTATGTGCAGCTACAAACATGGCTGGGTGATTTTGTGAAAACCCCTAATGCAACTGTATCTTGGCTGCTGTTAAGAGAGTATTAAAGTCTGTTCAATTTTAAAGGGCCCATTTTACTATTCACTGATCTATGTTATAATCTGGTTTCCTCATCACAAACGCACTTGGAGCTTTTTTTTTAACATTCACACATGTATTTTCGCACAGAGATGTAGACAGGCTAATAAAAAAAAGTTACTCAAACATGTGTGAATGAAACAAAACACAACTCCAAGTATGTTTTTGACAAGGTAACAACATTTTAACATGGCTTAAAGCTCACAGAAATCCATTTTGTGTAATATAGGGCTTTCAAATTAGTAACACAAATTAGAAAAAATTACATAACAAACTTGCTGTTAAAATGCAGTCCACATACTTAATTGCAATGATGTGTGGCTCAGTCGTTAGAGCTACAGCACATATGCATAGTATCCACCCCGAGTCATGATTTGAATTCTAGTTTTGATGTTTCTCTCGTCATCAAAATGTCACAATATCTTCTAAAAAAATCTGAAAGACTCCATTCTTTTTTGAACATAACCTACAACTCAACTTTGATGAGTTCATTCTTGCAGCGTCAGATTGTAAAACAGATACACACTACGAGTAATCCTAGTGTTGTCATGATATTATGTTAATATATCGATTTTGATACGAAGGAACAGACTCAATACTGATTCTGATACCACAATGATGATTAAAAAGATTTATTTTACCATGTGGCCTTATATCTGTATGCTCCCTTAGTCATGTCAACGAACTGGAGGTAAAAGAAAAATTTACAAGGGAAATGGAAAAGCTTGCAAATTGGCTTCAGAATTCCTGCCTTACCTTAAATATTAAATAAAACAATTTCAATGTTTTTTACCAATCAGGCGTAAATCCCCACAGACTCATGAAATTTTAGTAAATGGACAAAACATCAGGAATGTAGATGAATTTAAATATTTAGGTCTATTAATCGATTCAAAACATAATTTTAAAAATAACATTAAAGAACTTGGAAACACAATGAAGTTCAACTGGATGAATTTTAAACATATTTGAAATTCTTTAACAAATGAGGCTTCATAAACATATTTTATCAATGCAGCAAAATAGATATGTACTGTATTTTTCGGACTATAAGCCACACTTTTTTCATGGTTTGGGAGGCCTTGCGACTTATACTCCGGTGCGACTTATATATTAAAAATTTTCACACTGACAGCCACAAGAGGGCGCTCTAGGCTTGTGTGCCAGTATCTGCTACTTCTGTACCACTGTCACTTGGTGCCCTAGTGCGCATGTCTCCTGCAGAAAAAGCCGTTGTCTTGCTGCAAGTAGAGAAATATTCAGCCAAAAAAGGTAATTGAGAAGCAAGAAAGTTTGGCGTGAGCAACAAACTTGTGAAGGACTGGCGGAAAGTGTGGATGTCTACACAGCTTCACGCAACTGGGAGGGTGCGCCGAAGTCACTGTATGGATGGACAAAGTCTGGACTGGAAAATGGAAGGTCGGAAAGGAAATAATTCTAACTGGAACTGATGCCGAGTCTCACGACAGTTACACAGAAAAGGAAGCGGCGCTCTGTTTACCTCCGGAGGTCATGGAGTTGCTCAGAAGTGACACAGAGGACAAAGAATTCAATGGATTTAGTCATTTGAAGTGAGCTGGAGAGTTTGGTAAACTTGTTCTGTTCTGTTGTTTATGTTATAATTATCTGAAGAATTGTTCATGTGTGACGTTACGAGTCTGTTGTTCTCTGTTCTGTTGTTATTACTAGAATTTTCCTTTCAAGATGAAGAGTCTGTTCTTGGTCTTTGATTTCATAAAATACATTTCCCCTCAAAAAGTGTGACTTAGATATGTTTTTTTCTTCTTCATTACGCATTTTTTGTTTGCTGCGACTTATATTCTGGAGTGACTTATAGTCCGAAAAATACAGTAAATAGTGTATGGATGTGATGACTGAGACTGAATGGGACTAGTTTTACTCAGTGACTGAATATATAATGTATTTTATTTTATTGCATATATGCCATTTATGACATCAACCTGCCCAGGGACTGAAGGTGGAAATGAGCAACTTTGCTATAACTTAGCACAAACATATGATATCTTTGTGTAGTTCAATGTTTTATGTGCATTGTCCCTGATAAATAAACAAATTAACTAAACTGAACTCATCCAGGTAGGTCCCATAGTGGTCCATGGGCATATACTAGTGTATGTGCTCTTATACTTGTTCTGATACAGTTCAAGATCATTCTAAAGTTATTCAGGAAAGGTACATTTCTGTGCTGTGAATGTGACTTTTTAGTATAGATAGCAGCTCAAATGAGTACTATTCTCGATACTGTAGTTTTAGTATCGATATTTAGGTGATTTTCGATATTTCTGTCAACTGTATCTGCTTCTCTCCCTTTCCTCACAATGAACAAAATTCTCATGCACCCCCTCCTCCAAATCCATAGTCTAAAACAACTCAGAATGGGAGTATTTTTATGTAGTTTTGCAGTGTACCACC